TATATATTATATATATATATATATATATATACACAAAAAAATACAAAAGACTATCGCTAGTAATCAAAGATACACAAAACCAAACAATAAGGCAAAATTTTTCAGGCTAAAGAATTCCTTTAGGTTAACTTTGATGTAATGATGGCATAGACCTATATGAATGGATATAATACAATGTCCATGACATAATAAATAAAATAAATAAGATACTAAAGGGTATCCAGCATACTTTAAAAAAATTTTTTAATTTTTCTAAATTAAACATATATATATAATGTCCAGGGTTTTATATATATGTTTTAAAAACCTGGCCATCAGATTAATGTTAAACAATAGAAAAAAACTCTCCTAGAGCAAGAAGATAGCAACAGAATTGAAAGTGCTCTGTAAACAATAAAGGGCATAAAAACATAAGTAGTATCATGATTATATTTTCTAATTTGTTTGTTAAAGTGAACACTATAACCTAGCTGGCATCATTAGATAAATAAAATATTAGTATTCTACTTTTAGATGCAAAAAAATGGGAGAGCTCATTATGTTAATACAAGTATTTGTTTCCGAGAGTAAAATACTCACAGCTGTTTCTCCTTTTGGGAAATTTGTTTCTGTAGACTGTCGGATTTACTCAGACATTCCTGTAGATATTTCTCGTCCTCATCTTCAGCTTCCATTTGCGCCTTCTCTGTTTGCTGCAATCTGGTGTAATTCAAATCAACTTTGGGTAAAACTGAGGCTAGAACTAGGGTGTAAAAGGGTGAAGAAGACAAATAAAAGAAAAATGGGGAAATAGAAACATTTCTAAATGAAAACAAAGTCTGGGAGAAAACTCACAAACTCAAACGTGAAAGAGCCACACAATGTCTAGAAATTGTTTTGTGGTTTTTTTTCAACATAACATATAATATGCCCAGAATACTATCTTCAAATTTGTTTTATTTCTTGTTCATAATTAACAATGCAAAGCAATACAGCCTTTACCACTTATGTAGAGCATAATGAATCAAATTTCAAAGTATAATAGGTATATTACTGCCTTTCTGGAAAACCATGAAAAGCATAGTACTTATGTCTACACTAGGTGAAGAAGCCTTATGCTAGGATGTGTATGCCAGGAATCAAGTGTGCTACAAGGCCAAGAGCAAAGACCTGCAATTTCTTCAAATGATAATCGAGTTCTTCCTATAGAGTCTTTACTGAATTATACCAAAGCTCTGTGTGTGTGTGTGTGTGTGTGTGTGTGCAAGTACATATACTTTATTTAAGATTCAAAAAGAACTTAGTGCTAGTTGGCATCATTCTCTAAAGATCATTTTGGTTCCTCACCGTTGAATTAAAAAATAGCTCAAATGTGATTTTTATTTTTCCTATTTTCATTTGTAAGTCATTGCTTTTCCCTGTGCTTAGCTCCACTCCCTGCCTTCCTTTGGCCACCTAGGACTTCTTAGATTTAACCTCAATATTTTTATAAGAAAATATCTCCCAAGATTCAAGGGCCATTAACTCCCTGTAGGGAATTACAAGAGAAATTTCTGTTCAACTAACCAAAAAAACCTGCCTCTTCCTTTCTTTCTTAAAACCAAATCAATTAGGCAACCCTTACATATTTCAGGAATATAAGTGCTGCTTTCAAGGAAAGGAGAGTAACATTTAAGTTATCTCTAAATCTAAATTAAAATATTAAGGTGGCAGGGGTGGACCCAAGCTTTTCTCTAAGGTTACAGAAAGTAAAATAAAAGTCAGAGTGAGGTAGGCCTTGAAGTTGTGCTATCACAGAAGAGTGCTAGGGAAAACTAGAAAATTGAGATGCTAAAGCACATGATCATGTCCATCTGGTTTACAAACTATTTTAAAGCATATTAAAAAATCAGTAAGGGAGCCATTAGGCAATGAGTGGGCCAATGGGAAAAAATATCTGTGTCACACATGGTGAAACCAAAGGTTAACTTATTGTAAAACAATTTTTATATTTTCCATCAAAAAGTAGCTGAAAAGATAAAACTACATTTGAAAATCCTGACCCCCAAAGGGTCAACACTCAAATCAGCCTTTTTGCACAAGATTTGAGGAACGTATTTTTGTAAATCCAAGTGCACCCACTCTGTTTTATGGCAGTGTTTATTAACCACAGCAGCTGACCAAAAATGTACAGGGCTCTTAATACCCTTTTAGAATACTTAACAGCATAAATTATTTTCTATTTAATATATTATAAAATTGTTGATTCTCTTTTAGTCTGTTTAAATACAAGTTGTTTTCAGAAAGATATATCTTTGACCAGCTTGTACTGGTCCTGAGTGTCACTGCTGGCACATTTCACCAATGACATTGCAATTGTCCTAGTTTGAGTTAACAAATCGTTGTCACTTCAAAATGGAATGGACAGAAATCAAAGACAGAAAAAGGTAATAAAAATGTCCAAAATGTAGAAATGGGGATAAAGAAAACAGAAAAGAAAAAAGAAGAAAGAGGATGTCAATAAAAGAATATTCATGTCAATAAAGCATTAATAGTTATGTTTTTCATAAGTAGATTCAAAGAAAGCAATGATTAGACATATGTTGACACCAACATGACAGCGCAATGGAAATACATTACATTTTCCAACAATAAAAGTGAAAAATGCCAATATAAAACAATTCAATTTAAACAAAATTGTATCTTTGGTCGGGTTGAGGGTCCTAGCTCAAAAAAACAAAACTAAAGCACCAATTCAGAATGCTTGATTTTAGATAAAGAGATGGTGAATGGCAAAGAATATGGCAATTAATATGCATGGAAATCAGTCATGGATAATCCCACCATGGATTTTGTTTGCTTTTAATTTTTTTGAGGTTTTGTTTGTGTATTTGTTTTATGTAATAGATTGAACCACATGAAATTGCTGATATTAGGCCTTTAAAAAAATCTACAAAATGGCAACTTCAAATGAATCAGCCTAATATAAAGCAACTTGATTCCATGCAACAACCAAAACAAAAAGGCAAAATCCTGCTGGGCTTAAACAAAAAACATGTCCTAACCTACATATTCCTAATGGATTTTTTTTTTTTTTTGTGGCAGGTGTCAGAGTAGAATTAAAAAAAAGAGGGGAAAGAAAAGAAAAAAGGAAACTAAAACTGGAAATGCTGTACCTTTGTTCCAGCTGCCTCATGGCCACAGTAATTTTATTGGTTTTCTCTTCTAGTCGGGCAATTATTTCATTTTTTTCTTTCAAGCCATCTTCAGAACCCTATTTATAAAAACAAAGGTATAGTGGGTTTTGATTTTTTCTTTTTTCTTTTTTTTGCAGTGTCTAGTTCAGGTTGTTTTCAAACTCCTGGGCAAGTGATCCTCCTGTTTCAACCTCCCAAGTAGTGTTTTGATTTTAAACTTGAATAAGTTTCTTACACCATTTTGTTATGAGATTATTACATTGACATAAACAGTTAATTTTTTTTTTTTTTTTTTTTTTTTTGAGACAGAGTCTCACTTTGTTGCCCAGGCTAGAGTGAGTGCCGTGGCGTCAGCCTAGCTCACAGCAACCTCAAACTCCTGGCTCAAGCAATCCTGCTGCCTCAGCCTCCCGAGTAGCTGGGACTACAGGCATGCGCCACCATGCCCGCCATGTTTCTATTATATTGTTACAATTAATTTCTTTTTATTTATAGTAGGATGGCGCTTTTTTTTTTTTTTTTTTTTTTTTTGAGACAGAGTCTCGCTTTCTTGCCTAGGTAGAGTGAGTGCCCGGCGTCAGCCTAGCTCACAGGCAACCTCAAACTCCTGGCTCAAGCATCCTCCTGCCTCAGCCTCCGAGTAGCTGGGACTACAGGCACAGCCACATGCCGCTATTTTTAGTATATATAGTTGTCCAATTAATTTCTTTCTATTTTATGTAGAGACGGGGTCTCGCTTAGGCTGGTTTGAACTCCTGACCTTGAGCAATCCGCCCGCCTCGGCCTCCCAGAGTGCTAGGATTACAGGCGTGAAGCCACCGCGCCGCCGAGATGGCGTCTTGCTCTTGCTCAGGCTGGTTTCAAACTCCTGACCTCGAGCAATCGCCCTCGGCTCCCAGAGTGCTAGGATTATAGTAAACAGTTAATTTTTACTTTAAAATAATTCTATGATAGATAAACAGTGCTATGACTTTCATTTAAAGTGGAGTAAAAATGTAATAAAGAAAAAAACCTCAGCTTTCAATGTTTTGGGAAGACAAGAGAATAAATTCTTATAAAATATGCCATTTTTCAAATTAATTAAAGGACTTTTAGCAACAAGCATACTAAATAGCAATGTTACTTTATTAGAAAATTCACAACAATTATAATAGTAAAGCATTTAATCAAAATTAAATCTTTCTTAGGACTATACTATAAAAAGAAGTTCATAAAATGTCTCGCATATTTTAGATTGAGAGTTTTCTCCAAAGATCTAATCTTCATACTGTTAATCTTTTAGCATTAAGAAACAAATCAGACAGGTGATTTTTTGTTTGCTCTTTGATACCTTTTCATTACATTTTTTAAGCTTCCATTTAGAAAAAGACACTGGCTTTTATAACCAATATGGCACAGTTACAACAGGCTTGTCTCTTAAAAACCAAACCCTTCCTACAAAATTCATTTTCAATTTAAATAAATGGGATTACAAGAATTTAAGAACATTTCTTACCTGCAACTTTTGATACATCTCTATGTTAATGCTTTAACTTCTTCTAGTTGTTGTCGAAGGCTTATCAGAGTATCTTGTTTCTCATGGATGTCTTTCTCCAACAACTTCATGGCAAGTTCAATCTCATGTTTCATACTCACTTGTACTGCTAGCTCATTCTCCACATCCTGCAATTTCAACATATCCTCAATTCACATGCCACTTCAGGATGTTAAAATCAGATACACAACAGTTAATAAGATCAAGAAAGATTTTCCATTCAATATATAGACTACAATTTTAAGTCTACTAAAGGTAATCTACCAGGCCTATAACAACATAATACTTTAAGGTCCTCTGAACCTATCTTGGTTTGGGAGGCTGCCTGATAGAAAAATTAAAGTAAAAGAAATAAAGTAGTTAAGGCCAAAGAAACTCAAACAGTTTTAATTTCTTTCTTAAAGAATTTTATAAGAAGGATTAAGAAATTTCTTTCTTTTTAAAAATGGTATTTATTTAAGAAATTTCTTAACATTAAAGACAAGTAGCAAAGGGGACAGAAAGGCTGGCAACATCTCTCCTTGACCTGGGTGGTGGTTACACAGGTATTTGTGTTATAATTCATCAAACTGTACAACATATCTTTCTGTTGGTATTATATCTCACAATTTCAAAAGTTACAAAAATAAGTTCATTTTACATATATCATTATACTGTCTTCTGTTTTTCATTTTTTTAATGCTGGTCACAACCCATTCATTTTGCAACTATAGATTGCAACTCAGAGTTTAGAAAACACTGATATAGTGGTAGCATAAGGATTTTGAGAGGATTAAGGGGTGAGTTTGCTATCCCAAACGAAAAGACATCAGGCAGATGAGGGTGAAAAAGACTTGAAATGGTGCTTGCTTGAGGGTAAATTATTCCCAGGATTTTGCTAATGTAACTTTAATGTTACCTACTTGTCGTAACTGAGATTCATCTCGAAGCTGCCTTCTGGCTTCATTGTACATTTCATCTAGACCCTGCCGAGAATGCTTATATGTTTGAAGCTCAGTTTCCACATCTACTTTGGTAACCTAGGAAGAAAACATAAAAACTTTTTATTCTATAATCACTACTATTAATACAGCAGAGAAATACCTACTTTATGCAAAAGTCCTTAAAAGTTTTAATTTTTGACACAAGACAGTCTGTTTGAAAGCAATCTATACTCACCTCTAGGTGCTGCTGTGTTTTCATTAAAATCAATTTGTTTTCACTTCGTAATTGATGATTTTCTTCTTGGAGTTTAATGATATTATTCTTTGCTATTGCTAACTAAAAATTAAGAAACAGAGGCAAGAAAAAAAGAGTTTAAACATTTTTATACTTGTTTTATAGGTTTATGTTTGTGTCTATAAACAATAGAAAATAAAATCTTAAAATTAATAAAATGTCTCTCACATCCATAGAAACTTGCATAAGATAAATGTGCTCCTTATTATCCCAAGATACCAATTAAAGAAATTATACTCTTATATCCTTTTGTACTATTCCTATTATTTCCTTTTGTAGTTGACCATATTATACTTACTTATTATGCTTATAATAAATATATTATGCTTATTTTCTGATTTATAATATGATCTGAATAAAAAGTGTCTCAGTGAACATATAAAAATTATGCATTAAACAACAAAGACTGAAAAGATTTGTGTAAATATAAAAACATGTATAAAGAAAGAAAGTCGTGCTATCATGAATACAGACATTCATGGTAACTGAATGTCACCCTGTAAAATCTGGGCACGTCATAGGAACTTAAGTGACTATGACAAACATGAGATAGCTCTCACTATCAGACTTAAATGAGTTGGGTTCATAGCACTAATAACAGAAGCCTAAATAACTCTGAAAATAGGAAACAATAATTCTGTGGTTTCATAGTTTCTTAAAAAACTTATCTAAAAAGCAACTCTACAAAAGTATTAAAAAGAGAGCTGAGATAGATTTCCAGTTTTTCCTCAAATCAGCTCTGGGACCACTGGATAGCCACTTTCACAATGTAAGAAACCAGAGCACATGAGATAAGTTTTACACATGGGAGGATGGAGAAAGGGTAGACATGATCATGCAGGGATGCTTGTGAAGAAAAGTAATCTGACCAGTGGAACAAGAAGGACAGTATCATTTTAAGAAGAATTTCTAACTATGGGTGATTCCACTGGGTAAGTATAGGTCACCCAGAGTGCCAACCTCCAACTCCTGGGCTCAAGCAATTCTTCTGCTTCAGCCTCCCGAGTAGGTGGGACTACAGGCATGCGCCACCATGCCCGGCTGATTTTTTCTATATATTTTTAGTTGGCCAATTAGTTTCTTTCTATTTTTTCAGTAGAGACAAGGTCTCACTCTTGCTCAGGCTGGTTTCAACCTCCTGACCTAGAGTGATCCTCCCGCCTCGGCCTCTCAGAGTGCTAGGATTACAGGCATGAGCCACCACACCCGGCTTCATCCAGATGTTAAAATGAGAATCACAGTTTATCTACAGAAGAGTCTGTGTGAGTTTCATCTCTGGGGCTCATTTCTAGAAGTTGAGTATCTCATATATAGATTGACTTAACTGAAAATTTGCCTAAGAATATGTGCTTTCTCTAGAACTTATACCATCAATTACAACTATATTACAAATATTGTATTAAATGATGAAAATGTGTGTATGCTTAATGCATTCATACTTAAAATGAAAAGGGATCACAAACACTAGGTCCATGAAATACTTTTATCCATTACTGGGTGACAGTACCTCTTCAATCAGCTTAGTATTTGACTTTTCTAATGAATCAACTCTTGAATGGAGGCTGCTGACTGTGCTGCTGAAATTAATAAAGAAAAAACTTATTTAAAATCACACAAACTAACAAAGGCAAGAAAAAAATATGTTAACCTAAACTCATTATGTTGACTGACACACACCAACAGTCCTGTCCAAATTTGTGAGTGTGGAAAACATCATTAACTTGGGTGACTTGTTTTGGTTAGGAGACCAATAGAGAGTGCAGTAAAAGACTAAATATTTCTTTTGAAATTCCATTTGGTATTATCCATTATTTTTTATTGTCTTCTTAGGGTCCTTCTTACATTTAACTGATAATATTTGGGAATGGAAATTCCATACACAGATTACTAAATATTATTAACATTATATTTTATTTTTTTTTTTTTATTTATTTTTTGAGACAGAGTCTCACTCTGTCACCTGGGCTAGAGTGCCCTGGCATCAGCCTAGCTCACAGCAACCTCAAACTCCTGGGCTTAAGTGATTCTCCTGCCTCAGTTTCCCAGGTGGCTAGGATTACAAGTGTGTTCTACCATGCCTGGCTAATTTTTTATATTTTTAGTAGAAATGGGGTCTCACTCTTGCTCAGGCTGGTCTCAAACTCCTGAGCTCAAGTGATTGTCCCACATTGGCCTCCCAGAGTGCTAGGATTACAGGCATGGGTCACCGTGCCCCCCCAAAATTATATTTTAAATTATTTTTAAAAGCACAAACATTAAATGTCTACTTTATAATTATGTGGCTTGATGAAACATATAAACAATGGTCTTTAATCCAAGCACCATTCTGTTTCTCCTCTCCATTTTCATAATAACTTAGACACCTCCAAAGTCACCCATAGTTTGAAAAATATGAATACAAGATATCCATCATCAGATAACTAGCATCAGGTACCTGCTAAACACATATCTTTCAAGAAAATAGTCAGAACTCAGGTTATACCACATGAACACACCTGTTTTTTTGTTTTGTTTTGTTTAAATCAATCAAAACTAGACATTACTGTACATTTCATTAAGTCTGTTGTCTAAAGCCTGCTTGATACTACTTTCTCAAACTTTCTCTAATAAAATGGAATATGCTATGTATATCATGTATTACAGCAAAATCAATAAAATATACAACAAATTTTATATTAGCCTCAGAAACAAGTATTGGTATTTTAATTTAACTAGTGAAACAAGGAAATGTTTTTCCATTTATATTAAATCATTTTTTAAATATATTCACTCTAAGGTAAACAGCTTGAGTTTTTCATAAACGGAACCAGGATGTACTGATGGTGAGATACACAAGTACAGGTCTGGGAAATGTATGACCAAGCTCCCGGGCCTTGCTTTTCTATTTTCTAATTGTGTCACCTTGAATGTTATGAAACGTTTCTAAGCTTCAGTTTCTTTTCTATAAAATCAGACAACAGTATTTGCCTTGCCTTTATGTGAGAATCAGTAACCACCAAAAAAGCACTTTGAAAACAACAAACCCTCAATAGCAGTTTCCTTTGAGTGAAGAATAATAGATGAATCCTTTTTTCTTGCATCTGTTCTCTATATTGTTGAAATATTCTAAATGTATAACTTTATTAGAAAAAGCAATGAAACATTTTTAAAACATACAGTGTACATAATTAAGGCATTAATAGTTCTGTAACTGATTAATACACATGATTTAAAAGACCGAGAATGAGAAAACTGTTTTGAACTGAATAGAATAGATGCCAAGATAAACTGTTGAGTGAAAATAGTAAAGTACAGAGCAGTGTGAAAGTATGCTACCTTATATGTAGAAACAATTAATGAGAACAGTCCATTCATTTCTAACTATGTAGCAAATATTATTCAGTACACCTGTGCTGTTCAGTATGGTAGCTATGAGCCACATGTGGCTACTAAGCACTTAAAATGTAGCTAGTCCTTCCCCTTTAAAAATATAAGATGAAAAAAAACGAAAAAAAAATGTAGCTAATCCAAATTCAAATGGGTAAGGTTCACACTGGATTTTGAAGACAGCACCCCCTAAAATGTAAAATATCTTACTAATAACTTTTTTTTTTTTTTTTTTTTGAGACAGAGTCTCACTTTGTTGCCCAGGCTAGAGTGAGTGCCGTGGCGTCAGCCTGGCTCACAGCAACCTCAATCTCTGGGGCTCAGCGATCCTACTGCCTTAGCATCCCGAGTAGCTGGGACTACAGGCATGCGCCACCATGCCCGGCTAATTTTTTTTGTATATATATTTTTAGTTGGTCAATTAATTTATTTCTATTTTTGGTAGAGATGGGGTCTCGCTCAGGCTGGTTTCGAACTCCTAACCTTGAGCAATCCGCCCGCCTCGGCCTCCCAAAGTGCTAGGATTACAGGCGTGAGCCACCGCGCCCGGCCCTACTAATAACTTTTTTAAAGAGACAGTGTCTTGCTATATTGCCCAGGCTGGTCTTGAACTCAAGGGATCTTCTTTCCTCAGCTTTCTGAGTAGCTGGGACTACACCCACACACCACCACACCCAGCTAATAATAATATTTTATACTGATTACATGTTGAAATAATATTTGGGGTATATTAGGCAAAATAAACTATATTTTATAATTAATTTTTTTAACATTTTTAACGTGGTTACCGGAAGTTTTAAATTACCTATGTGCCACACATTATATTTCTATAACAACTGCGCTATACTATTTTACATACAGATCTCAGAAACTCTTCTCAGCTAGAGTATTCATTGACGGCTTCAATGACCCGTTGACAATGTAAGAAGAAGAAAACTTCCACCATAGAAGATGACAGCCACATTTACACATGAAGCCCTTAGAAGTAGGAAAAATGAATTTTTGAAGCATCAAAATGATATAAACTTCCACCTTATCTAGACTTTTTTCTTAAAGGAACATTAAGTTAAAAATTTTACTTAAATTCTATGAGGATTCTATTAAAAATCTTACTCTCATTTTCTGCTGAAAATGAATTAGCTCCAATAATTCTCAGTATTCTTAATTTCCATTCTCTATCCCCTCAACCCCTCAAAGGTGCTTAGAAGAAAGAAATAGGGTTTAGCTGAAATGAAGGGAAGAAAAACAAAAACAAAAAACTAAGACAATATTCATAAATGTGCTAAGTATCCACAATACTTACTTCAGTTGTCTATTTAATTCTTCAACGTAATTCTTTTGGTCTAATATGGCAGCAATTTGAACATTCCTGGGGAGAGAAAAAAATAGTTTTGTAGTAGTTCAAAGGTACTTAATTAGATGCAAAAAAATATATAAATCATCTAAAATTGTTGTAAAATCGTAATGGTATAACAACATTATCTTCATTTAAGACATACATGTAAGCTCTGTACTACCTATAACCTTTGTTGAATAAATAACTCGCTAATAATAGACTTAATAATACCACTAGTATATTTTAAATATAAACACAATTATATCTTGAAATAAACCACCACTTGTAAGCTTGTGAATAATAAGCTTTCATCTCTTTAATCACAAAACTCAGTTATTAAAATGGGTCTCAAGTGAAGTATCTCAAGAATGGAAAAACAAGCACCACATGTACTCACCAGCAAATTGGTATTAACGGATCAACACCTAAGTGGACATATAGGAGTAACATTTATTGGGTGTCAGGAGGGTGGGAGGAGGGAGGAGGGGATGGGTATATACAACCACAACGAGTAAGATGTGCAACATTTGGGGGATGGACACACTTGAAACTCTTACTCGAGGGGGGAGGGGGGCATGGGCAATATATGTAACCTTAACACAAGTACACCCATAATACGCTAAAATAAAAAAATTTTTTAAAATGGGTCTCCAGCCAGGTGTGGTGGCTCACGCCCAAAATCCTTGCACTCTGGGAGGCCAAGGCAGGAGGATCATTTGAGCTCAGGAGTTCAAGACCAGCCTGAACAAGAGTGAGACCCATTTCTACTAAAAAAACAGAAAAAAATTAACTGGATAACTAAAAAAAAAAATATATATATATATATATATGTGTGTGTGTGTATGTATATATATATATATATATATATATATATATAAAATTAGCGGCATGGTGGCACATGCCTATAGTCCCAGCTACTCAGGAGGCTGAGGCAGGAGGATTGCTTGAGCCCAGGAGTTTGAGGTTGCCATAAGCTAGGCTGATGCAGCACTCTAGCCTGGGCAAGAGTGAGACTCTATCTCAAAATTTAAAAAAATAATAATAAAATAAAATGGGTCTCAGTAACTACACACGTGGCCAAAAGCCCTACTTTATATTGAAGCCTCCTTCTGCTAAGTTCTTTTCCCTAATTTGCTTTGTAAAGTGACAACAGAAGTGGAAGTGAAAATGAAACAAAGTAGAAATGGGAGTGAGGAGGACAGAAAACCATATTGTATAATAAATAGATGGATCCCACACTGATTTGTAAAGAGCTATCTAAAAACATACATGTGAAATAACTTATGAAAATCATACCTTTCTTTATTTCCAATATCTTCTTCATTCTTTAAATACATAGAAAAATCAATCACTCCAACCTGAAGTAAATAAAGTTATTTTTATTTAAAGGAGAGAAATACTACTTAATCAGAAGTACCTTTACTGAATTTCATTCTTAATTTTTCTTTAGTGTTTAACAACACTGTTTACACATTAAAGTGACACCTGGATCCAGGGGGGACTGGGCAAACTGAGAACACTCTGCATTTGGCACTAATCACTTTCACTTACTTGTGAGTCTAAATCCTCTCCCTTCACACACAGATTAGCATCTATCACATTCAGGCCAACCAGCAGCCCAACAATTACTGCTCCTTCTTCTTCCATCATTAGTGCATGATACTCATAGAACTCACTGTGAAAATTAAAAAAAAAAAAAAAAAAAAACCTTAATCACAAATTCATTTCAAAAACTAAATTTTAAAATCACCTTATCTTCCTAATCTTCCACTTTATAGACACAGAAGTAATCTAAGTTACATAACTTCAAATTAACCTTTCTACATGTGAATAGCTTTTTAAATTTTTGAAATTTAAATGTCGATATAGAATTTAAGTGTCTATATAAAAGAAAAACACAAAAGGAGATAAAAGAGGAAAAATAATTTCTTTTTTTTTGAGACAGAGTCTCACTCTGTTGCCTGGGCTAGAGTGCCGTGGCCTCAGCCTAGCTCACAGCAACCTCAAACTCCTGGGCTCAAGCGATCCTCCTGCCTCAGCCTTCCGAATAGCTGGGACTACAGGCATGCGCCACCATGCCAAGCTAATTTTTTCTATATATTTTTAGTTGGCCAATTAATTTCTTTCTATTTTTAGTAGAGATGGGGTCTCGCTCTTGCTGAGGCTGGTTCTGAACTCCTGACCTCAAGAGATCCGCCCACCTCGGCTTCCCAGAGTGCCAGGATTACAGGTGGGAGCCACCGCATCCAGCCAAGAAAAAGGAATTTTGAGAAAGAAAAAAAGAGAAGCAAAGAGACATCAAAAGAAAAAGAGGCGATACTGAAGCCTAGAAAGTTTCTGAATCTCAGAAGGATATAGTGACTGTTGTTGATCTGATTATGACACTTTTTATTAGAGTTGAATTTTCAATCTTAAGATTTATTAAGACCCTTGGGATAAAGGGGAAAATGAATATATGAATCATTTCAAACCCCAGGTTCAAGTCAATGCATTTGACAGGTGTATTGTAAATGCCCTTCATAGATAATCATAAATTAAAGATACTCTATCTACACTCTAAAAAATGTCCAAATAAGAGACTTGTGAAAGAAGCAGGACAGTCTAAAAACAAAGTCTTTTCTCTAAAAAACATAAAAAAATTAGTTAGGACTACAGGCATGGTTGCAAGCCCTTATAGTCCCAGCTACTTGGGACTATAGGCCCATAGGCCCAGGAATTAGAGGGTGCAGTGAGCTATGATAGCACCTCTGCACTCCAGCCTGGGCAACAGAGCAAGACCCTGTCTCAAAAAAAAAAAAAAAAAAGCCCAGAATAAGCTAAAAGCAGTAATTTGGACATTCAACATCTAAAAAGAAACCTGTGAAATTAAAGTCCCAAATTCCAACACAAATTTTTATCCATAAAATTAACTATAAATCAGAAAAATAAAATTAAGAAATACTATATACATTTCCCTTTATTGGCTAATAATAAGCTTACGGTATTCGTGTTTTAGACTAGTTCCTGATCCACATTATGCCCCTACCATGTTTTTCTCTCTCATTTTGCTCCTCCTTTTATTTTATATCATCTTATTATGTTTTATATATCCCTTTATATGCCATCTGCAATCCTTTTTCGAAGACAGGACACAAATAAAAGATTGAAAATGAACATGACTTAATAATACTAACCTCAAGAGATCCCTCTGAATAATTAAGCAACGTAGGTAATCAGCCATTTTTTTCTGCATGAGAGCTAATCGAAGCCATGCTCTTGCTCGACCCAGGGGTGTTCTAATGAGAAGAACCAATTGGTCAGAAAACAGCCCTATTCCAAAGATTATGGACTACATGTTCTATCTCTGTTGAGGTACACATTAACAAAGAAAAGGGGCATTTTATCACGATTTTCTTTACATTTTTATAGTTAAGCCAACAAACCAATCCCTGGGAGCTAGCTAAATCTGCTCCTGTAGGGCACCTAGGTACAATTTTATGCCTTCAAAGAAATGACTCTCTAAATACTATTGTGGGTCACTTAACACTGGGGATATGTTCTGATAAATATGTCGCTAGGCACTTTTATCATTGTGCAAACATCACTCTTATAGCCTATTGCTCTTAGGCTACAAACCTACACGGCATGTTAATGTACTGAATACTGTAGGCAACTGTAACACAATGGTTACGTATTTGTGTATCTAAACAGAAAATGTACAGTAAAAATACAGTATTATAATCTTATGGGACCACCATAGTTAACTGACACATTGCTATATAGGGCAGGACTGTAGTGAGAATATTTCTACAAGAAATACTTAGTGTAAGTAGGCTTGGGCCTCTAAAAATGAATATGCAAAATCTATCAGTATGGTAGTATAATGCCTTCAAAAATTAGGTAACATTATATATGCATTTTAAAAATCATAATAAAGCTAAGAAGATACCAAGTTGGTAATTAAAGAGAAATCACTGTGCTGCTTGCTGTTTTTCAAATGTTTCTTTTACCCAGTTGCACTTAAGAAATTAAATCTCCTATCTCTCTTATCTAAGCTCTATATTTAAAAGCAAGTTTTAAAGAATACGTATTTTTGTAAAAAACAAAAAAAGGGAATGATATCATTCACATTTTATGTTTTCTAACAAAGAGAACATTTTGTCAGGTAGTTTGGGAGGATACTTAATGATCACTTCCAAAAAGCAAAGAGTTTCTTATAGCTTAGCATTTTAACAAACATCATCAGGAAACATTTTGTAAAGTGTGGCTTTTTAAAAAAGTATGAACAAGTATTTTGATATTAAAATAAAAACCAAATCTAAGGCCGGGCGCGGTGGCTCACGCCTGTAATCCTAGCTCTCTGGGAGGCCGAGGCGGGCGGATTGCTCGAGGTCAGGAGTTCGAAACCAGCCTGAGCAAGAGCTAGACCCCGTCTCTACTATAAAATAGAAAGAAATTAATTGGCCAACTAATATATATACAAAAAATTAGCCGGGCATGGTGGCGAATGCCTGTAGTCCCAGCTACTTGGGAGGCTGAGGCAGGAGGATTGCTTGAGCCAGGAGTTTGAGGTTGCTATGAGCTAGGCTGACGCCATGGCACTCACTCTAGCCTGGGCAACAAAGTGAGACTCTGTCTCAAAAAAAAAAAAAAAAAAAAAAACCAAATCTAAAACAAACAAAAAAAATAAAACCAAATCTTATATTTCCCTTGAAACTCCATTTTTCCTCTATGTTTGTTAAAAATTACTACACCTAATATGCCATTATAAGTAACATCAAGTTTGAACATCATTTGCTATTTAACTCTAAAAACTGGGTTTGAATCCTACCTCTGCCACTTTTGTTTGTTTGGATACAGGATCTTGCTCTGTCACCCAGGCTGCAGTACAGTGGCATCATCATAGCTCACTGCAATCTCAAACTCCTGGGCTCAAGTGATCCTCCTGCCTTAGCCTCCCAAGTAGCTGGGACTACAGGCATGCGCCACCATGCCCGGCTAATTTTTCTGTTTTTTTGTAGACACAGGGTCTCGCTATGTTGCTGAGGCTAGTCTCAAACTCCTAGCCTCATGTGATCCTCCCACCTGGGCCTCTCAAAGTGCCACGATTACAAGTGTGAGCCACCTTGCCCGTACTGCCACTTATTAACTGTAACTTCTCTGACCTTTATTTTTCTTTTTTCTTTTTTTTTGAGACAGAGTCTCGCTTTGTTGCCCAGGCTAGAGCTCACAGCAACCTCAAACTCCTGGGCTCAAGCGATCCTCCTGCCTCAGCCTCCAGAGTAGCTGGGATTACAGGCATGCGCCACCATGCCCGGCTAATTTTTTTTTTATATATATATATATATTAGTTGGCCAATTAATTTCTTTCTATTTTTATAGTAGAGACGGGGTCTCGCTCAGGCTGGTTTTGAACTCCTGACCTTGAGCAATCCGCCCGCCTCAGCCTCCCAGAGTGCTAGGATTACAGGCGTGAGCCACCGTGCCTGGCTTATTTTTCACATATATACAATTATTATAATAATAATCTCTACCTGTAGGATTGATTTAAGCACTAAAGGAGATAATTCATGTAAAACAATTACCTTATTACCCTGACACAATGCTCAAAGGACAGATATTTATTTTTATCACTCAATTAAGTCCAACTTATACAAATTTGAAAAGCAAGAAATAACAGCAAGAAAACACTACCATATTTCCCACAATATATAAAACCCTAAACTGTAAAGCTAAGAGAAAACAAACTGATAATCTGATGGAAAATACTAAATATAAAAATTATCTTGGCCAGGCTCAGTGGCTCACGCCTGTAATACTAGCACTCTAGGAGGCCAAGATGGGAGGATTGCTTGAGCTTAGAAGTTCGAGACCAGCCTGAGCAAGAGCAAGACCTCGTCTCTACAAAAAATAGAAAAATTAGCTGAGCATGGTGCTTCGTGCCTGTACTCCCAGCTACTCAGGAGGCTTAGGCAGGAGGATCACTTGAGTCCAGGAGTTTGAGACTGCAGTGAGCTATGATGACGCCACTGTACTCTATCCTGGGCAACAGGGCAAGATCCTGTCTCAAAAAAGAAAAGAAAAAAATCTCCTTCACAAGAATTAAGATAAACTAAAGGGAGTGCCTACATTTTAATTACCCCTAAAGAATATAAGAACTTAGCTTTAACACTTCAAGCCTGCAAAAAATTTTCAGTACTTATAAGTTCTTAGATAGAACACTCTAGCTTTTAGGACATTTCATATATATTTGACTGATGAAACAGGCTGTTGACACTAGAGGTCACAACTTTTTCCAAGGAAGAAAAGTAATGTATACAACTCCTATATACAAAAATGGTTTATCTGAGAACCTGAATCTCCTGAGCCCTTGCCCTGGATTCAACCTAAATCAGTCTTCAATAAATATTTATAGACTGCCTGCTATATGCAAACACTGAAAACAGAGATGCACCTTTGATATATCCTATCTTAAAGGGAATTGCAATTCCTGCAATACAAGGCAGAACTGAAGATACAGTAAAGCAGGAAATACAGTGATAAGAGCATAAAAGAAAGAGTGGTTAATTCTTATAGAAGGGCTTAAGAAAAACTTCTTAAAGGAAATGGAATTTGAGCTGAGCAATAAAGAATGAACAGAATTTTATTAAGAGAATGGAAGAAGGGGATTTAAGACTGAGAGAAGATAATAAACTAGAGCATGAGGTACTTCAGAGGAACTATGAATGCACTTCTGTGGTTATGGATGAACAAGTAATAAGATTACTTACTTAAGACCAGGTAAATCCCTGACACTGGCTCCTATTTCCTCTGCTTCTGGGTACAATTTTTCCACCAGTTCCAAAGGGCCCCAGATGGTTTTGTTATAACTCAAAAATGATTTTCGTACTGAAAAAAAGAAAATATAATGCACACAATTTCCACATATAAAATAGTGGTAACTTGTTTTAAAATATTAGTTTCAACTTTTCTAACTTAACATACAATTAATTATTGAGAAATCTTTCCTCTTTTTCAGTCACTACACAGCCCTGTTGATCAAAAGCCTGTTCAGGTTGGGCGAGGTGGCTCACACCTGTAATCCTAGCACTCTGGGAGGCTGAGGCAGGAGGATCGTTTGAGCTCAGGAGTTCGAGACTAGCTTGAGCAAGAGCAAGATCCTGTCTCTACTAAAAAAATAGAAAAAATTAGCTGGACAACTAAAACTATACAGAAAAAATTAGCTGGGCGTGGTGGAGCATGACTGTAGTTCCAGCTACTCGGGAGGCTGAGACAGAGGATTGCTTGAGCCCAAAAGTTTGAGGTTGCTGACACCATGGCACTCTAGCCTGGGCAACAGAGTAAGACTCTGTCTCAAGGAAAAAAAAAGAGCCTGTTCAATCAGGAGCCTGTTGCCCATCCTGCTGTATTTTCCCGTATCAGAAAAATGCATCTTGGCCAATCTTTCATATCAAATATGCAGACAAGTAATTAAAGTAAAAAATGACTCCAATCATTCCTTACCAGTACCAAAATAAAGACTGGTAGCTCTAGCTGATTGATCCTTATAAATCTATTAAATAAACCAAGCACAAATAAAAAGTTATTTTAATTTTATATATGAAAAATTGTGAATTTGCTCTTCCTTTTATTTTATTCTGCGATTTGAGCAATAAAAAACTATGAAATCACCATACATTTCTTTCTTAATACTGATCAGATCTCCTGCACACAGAATGTACCAATCATCAGCATCACTCAAGGACAACCACCAAGATAGGCAACTTTTACGGGGGGCAAAAATCACAAGCACAAAGTAGCTTTATAATAATTCATCAAGATAAGCCTACAACTGCTAAAATATGGCTCACTATATTTTGTGAATTAAAGGATAATAAATTCTAGGCCAGCATGATGGCTCACACCTGTAATCCTAATTCTCTGGGAGACTGAGGCAGGAGCATTGCTTGTTCAAGACCAGCCTGAACAAGAGCAAGACCCCATCTCTACTACAAATAGAAAAATTTAGTTGGGGGTGGTGGCAAAGGCCTATAGTCCCAGTTACTCGGGTGGCTGAGGCAGGAGGATTGCTTGACCCCAGGAGTTTAAGGTTGCAGTGAGCTATGATCACACCACTGCACTCTAACCAGGGCAACAGAGTAACACCCTATCTCAAAAAAAAAGATAATAAATTCTAAAAAACTCCATTTCAGCAGACTTCGGGAAAATAAAGATGTATACCACTGATTTTTTAAAAAATAAAGTTTTTCTTTTCTTTTTTAGAGACAGGGTCTTGCTCTGTCACCCAGGCAATGCAGTGGCCCATCACAGCTCACTATGACCTCAAACTCCTGGGCTCAAGAGATCTTTCTCCTCAGCCTCCTGTGGAGCTGGTACTACAGGTATGCACCACCATGCTCAGCTAATTTAAAAAAATTTTTTTGTGGAGATGGGGTCTTGCTATGTTGCCCAGGCTGGTCTTAACCTCCTGGCTTCAAGCGAGCCTCACATCTTGGCCTCCCAAAATGTTGGGATTACAGGAATTCACCACTGCATCTGGCCTAAAATAACTCTATAATTGTCCTAGAAAATGGAAACCAGTTCAGAGTATGTATGTTGAAAAGTTTAAAAATCAAATATGCTTTTTTACAAAACACTAAGCATTTTCTGAAGACCATCTATTAGAAAACAAAAAGTTATAAGATATTTCCTCCCCAAATCATCTGATTCCATGTTTTTTAATGCAAACTAACGGTTATCATGGCCTCAAAAAACAACACATTTTCAAGTATATTTAAAATAGAAAGGGGGAGGTTCTAAAGTAAATTAAAATTTTTTAAGTTTCACGATACCTTTAAGACCGTGTTTCAGACAATGTTCCATAACAACAAAGAACTGCTGCAAGGGAGGATAGTCAGAATCCAGAGTGCGGCCAAAACTTAGAGCAGATTCAATGAGTCCTTTGATACTCAGTTTAGCCATGTTTAACAAGTTTGCTCTCTCTACAGCTGTGGGGTCTTTTGCAGCTGAAAGCACAAGAAAGATGCCCAACATCATTTGCAAGACATGACAATGGAAAATATACCAACTCTTCTCATATCCTATCAAATCAATGATAGGATGTTTTCCTTTTCCCTTGGTCAACAAACTGCCTCCCCAACTAAACTATACCCCTAGTTAACTTCTTATGTTTCTCTCACATATACCATAGAAAACTACTATACCCATTCCAGTCAACATTTGTGAATTATTTCCAAGATCTTGCAAATCTGCCATTCTCCTAAATTTATTTTGCTATTGTAGGACCTCTTCATGGAGAATGAGTTTTTTATGGTCTAAGGATGAATTCCAAGGCTAAAATGCCCAGAATAAACTGGCAAAAAAAATAAATAAATAAAAGGCAGTTAAAATTCTAAGATTCCAGTATCATCCAAAACAAACATGACAAGTAAAATGTACTGACAAGGGGATACACAAGAAGCCACCCAATGCTCTCACTCATTGTAACCCTCAGTCTTGTTTCTTCATTCTGGCTGTAGTGTTGTATTGCATGATCCGTTTATTTTCCAAGAGGAAATAAAAGCAGGGATCAGTTTCTAATTCAAGCTCCCTGTCCTTCCACAAAGCTGATTATGCTCACTGTTTCCAGTTTGAATACCAAGTCAATAGATGCATATTTTAAACGGCCCGGTTTTTAATTGATATTTTAAATTCACCAAAAAAAAAAAAATGCTTTCTTCTCCACAAATTTTATTCTCAGTTTACTTAGAAATTCAGATGCTTCCCCATCCTCTCATCACTGCTCTGCTGGGACTGGCAGGAATATTTTCAGCAAAACACAGATGACAAAATTCAGGTGTGGAAAAATGAAGCATTTAGTATTAACATTTCATAATCTCTGACAAATTTACAAGTCCAAGTAATCAAAGCGTCCATTTTTCCTTCACTGAACAAAATCCCAGAGTCCCCCAAGGACTCAGTATTCTAGTTCTGATCGTGGATAGCTAGGCGTGAAGCCTGACACTGAATCTTAAACAACTTAAAATGCAAACAGTCACAACTGCTATGACCAAGCTGGCTGGTGGAAAATGTCCACACACGACATTTTCTCAGATCTGCACGGTGGTCTGACTTCCATTTGAGGGGCTGGGGGAGTAAAACCACTTGATGTCTTATAATCCGTGGTAATTCTCATTTTTCTTAACACTGCGCACCACAATCCATAATGTGCGATGCGACAGCCACACAAAGGGCGGCTCTGCAGCTGCTGGCAGACGCGTCTGCGCTGGCTCCGGCGTGGGAACCGCCGAGGGGCGTTTACACCGCGGCCACGCCCCGACTAGGCTCGCGCACTTGTCCCGCGGGACGCGACCCCCAAAGCCGGCCGCAGGTGCGCCGGGAGAGCAGGAAAAGGGCCAGTCCTCGCATCGAGCCGGAGCGCACTGCCCCTTCCCTGCCTCTCTTCCTCCCCCGCCCTGCAGCAAGGCTGCCTGCAGGCCTCGGGGCGCCCCAGGGCCCCCGCGGAGCGCTCACCCGGGGTCTTGCGCGTCATCACGCCCCCTCTTCCGCCCCCGGCGTCGGGCACCCAGGCCAAAACCTGAGACGCGTCCTCCCTCCGCCAACCCCAAACTTGAAAAGTCATCGGCCGACCCTGACTGTTCCCCGACGACCCCGGAGCGACACCGCGGCCGGCCCTGTCCTTGCTCCCTAGAAGCCGTCAGACCCCGAAGCCTCGGCTACCAGGCCCCGGAACGGAGGCGGCGGCGGGAGGGAGCGAGGGGGGCGCGTTGCCATGACGACCCCAGGAGCCCCCGAGTCCTGGGCTGTCCCCGCCCATCCCAGGTTTGGGCCCGTTCCGACTGGCGGTCTCAGTGTCCCACCCCCACCCGGAATCCCCCTCCCCGACCGCGGCCTTCGGCCCGGGGCGGAGGGCCGGGCGTCCGCTCTCGGCCCGCTCCCCTTACCCATGGCGGCGGCGGCTCGGTCTCGGACGCGGGCTCCCTCGGCCCGGCCAGCAGCTCCCTCCAAGACCTCCGCGGCCGCCACCGCCTCTGCAGCCAGGCCCGCTGCGACCCACAGCGCCCCCGGCGGCGGGAGGACTCCCGGGCGGCCCCAGCGAGGGAGCGGCGCCTGAGGTGAGGCGGGGCCCGCGGAGCCCGCAGCGGGCGGGGGCGAAAACACGCCCTCGCTGGGCTTCTCCACCGCGGGGGCCGGGAGGAGCAGGAAAAGGAGCGTGAAGGAGACCTCGAGACCTCGGTGTGAGGGCCGGAGGATGGACGGACCCTTGCTCGCTCACGGGTCTCTCGGCCTAGCGGCCTCGCCAGAGCGCGGACTCTGGATTTCCACGGGGCGGCGAGCCACGTGCAAACGTTTCCATCCCGAGGCCGGCCGGGTTTAGTGGAACGTGCCTGACCGCTTCCCTTTTACCTGTCCGATCTCACAGGGAACAGAAGAATTCAGTAAATACGAAACAAATAAAAATAAGCACGGCTGATCCGATGGTAGTGGGTTTATCAGAACTTACTAACATTTGTGTCACTAAAGTTGGTGTACAACCCCCACTGCTAAATTTGACTGGCTTTTAAAAAACTAAAAAAAAATGTTTTAAAAGGCACAAATCTACCGAAACTTTACTTTTGAATTTTTTTAATTCTGCTTATGATATAAGCTAAAGCTATTTACACAGCCCCACATCATGATGCTTAAACCAGTGAATACATTGGTTTATAAAAAGCAACGGGCAATAGTCTCATTAATCAAGACCGAGATAGAAAGCGTTCTCTCATTTCGAGAAGGGAAAAAAATACCCTCATAGATAGCTCTAGGTTTAAGTTACATCAGGTTGGGAAAAGTAAGCTATCTGCAGCTATTGAGACTAGCTGAGCTCAAAGTAGACCCAGATATTTGATGAAAACAGGGAAGTGTGTTTCTCTTCATTGCTTTGACCAGTATAAAGTTCTGTTTACTTCTTTTGGTTTTCAGTTTTCTTTATTCCGAGATTATCCCACATGTGCACAGAGGTAAGTAAAACTCAGTGGTAATAACGGGGTAGGGGAGGAGGGGATGGGCAAAAACCTACCTGGGTACAATGATGGGCACACTAACAGCCTTAACTCAAGTATAAAGAAAGCAAGCCGGCTAGCACTATGGGAGGCCCAGGCGGGAGGATCCCTCAAGGTCAGGAGATCGAAACCAGCCTGAGCAAGAGCACGACCCCTGTCTCTACTAAAAAATAGAAAGAAATTAATTTGCCAACTAAAAATATATAGAAAAACTTAGTCGGGCATGGTGGCACATGCCTGTAGTCCCAGCTACTCGGGAGGCTGAGATAGGAGGATCGCCTGAGCCAGGAGTTTGAGGTTGCTGTGAGCTAGGCTGACGCCAGGGCACTCTAGCCCTGGCAACAGAGTGAGACTATGTCTCAAAAAAAAAAAAAAAAGAAAGTGATCCATGTAATGAAAAACACTTGCACCCCATAATATTTTGAAATAAAAAAATACTAAAAAAAAAAAGAAAACATGGATAAAAATCTATAAAACAGGCTGGGCGTGGTGGTTCACGCCTGTAATCCCAGTACTTTGGGAGGACCAGGTGCGATGATGGCTTGAGCCCAGGTTTCCGTGAGCTGTGATGTGGCCACTTGCACTCCAGCCTGGGCGACTGAGCAAGACTGTGTCTCTTAGAGCTCCCCTGCAAATACCCATAAGCCCCAATCACAGTCTCTCCCAGAGGTAAATACTATTCTGAGAACCGTTTCTGTGTTTTTCTGAATAATATCACCACCTCAGTTATTTGCCCCTAAACAATATCTCTGTTTATAAACTTCTCACAAATGGCATAATGCTGTACAAACTTTATTTCTTTTGCTCATTATTGCATGTCTGAGTTTCATCCAAGTCCATGAGGAGTTTCTAGTTTGGAGTGTTTGCAGGTTGTACACATATATATCCTGCTGTACATATGCAAGAGCCTATAGGCATATAATTAAGAATAGAATTACTAGGCTGAGCGTGGTGGCTCACGCCTATAATCCTAGCACTTTGGGAGGCTAAGGTGGGCGGATTGCTCAAGGTCAGCCTGAGCGAGACCCGTCTCTACCAAAAATAAAAAAAATAAATTAATTGACCAACTAAAAATATATATACAAAAAATTAGCCGGGCATGGTGGCACATGCCTGTAGTCCCAGCTACTCGGGAGGCTGAGGCAGTAGGATCGCTGAGCCCCGGAGATTGAGGTTGCTGTGAGCCAGGCTGACGCCACGGCACTCACTCTAGCCTGGGCAACAAAGTGAGACTCTGTCTCAAAAAAAAAAAAAAAATAGAATTACTTGGAAATCAGGTGTATCTCTCCTTAAATTTACTATATAATGCCAAACTGTTTTCAAAACTTCTCAAAATTCACACTCCTACCAGCATAGTTTTTCCATTGCTCTATGTCCATTCTAATGTGTGGAATTGTGAGAATTTTTTCGTTTTTTGCCAGTCTTGTGGGTATGTGATTGTATGGTGGGCTTATTCTGTATTTACCTTATTTCTGATAGCATTGAGCACCTTCTCCTATGTTTACTATTTGGAGTTCCTGTTCTGCAAATAATCTGTTCAAATCTTTAACCTATTTTTCTTTTCTTTTTTTTTTTTGAGACAGGTCTCTTTCTGTTTTGCCCAGGCTCAAGTGCAGTGGCATCATTGTAGCTCACTGCAACCTCAAACTCCTGGGCTCAAGTGATCCTTCTGCCTCAGCCTCCCAAGTAGCTGGGACTACAGGTGCACACCATGATGCCCATGTAGCCTTATTTTTCTATTGACATTTTTGGTGGGGTTGTATGAGTTACTCGATATTCTACATACTAGTTTGATGTCAGTTATGTGTTGTCAGTATCTTCTGGCTTGTCTGTTTATGGTGACCTTTGATAAATATAAGTCCTTAATTTTCTTGTAGTTGGATTTATGGTTTAAAGTTTAGTGTCTTGTTTAAGACATCTTCCCTACCCCATATTCATGAATATACTCTCTTTAGGAGTCACATAATTTTACCTTTTCTATTTATTTCTGTTCTTGCACCCAGACTTGATTTTTGTGAGTGTTGTGAGATAGGGTCAAATTTAACTTTTTCCATATGTACAGTCCAACTGTCCCATTGTCCTTTCACCATTTATCTTCCATTCTCCATCTTGCATTGATCTACTTTTTTTTTTTTTGAAACAGAGTCTCACTCTGTTGCCAGGACAAATGCTAGGCTGTGGCATCAGCCTAGCTCACAGCAACCTCCAACTCCTGCGTTCAAGCAATCATCCTAGCTCAACCTCCCCAGTAGCTGGAACTACAGGCATGCACCATAACACCTGGCTAATTTTTCTACTATTAGTGGAGACAGAGTCTTACTCTTGCTTGGGCTGGTCTCCAACTCCTGAGCTCAAGCAATCCTCCTGCCTTAGCCTCCCAGAGTACTAGGATTACAGGTATGAGCCACCAAGCCTGGCCTAGAAATTTCATTTTCTAAAATGTATAGTGTTTGAAATTCTTACTAAAATCATGTACTGCTCTGTAAACAGAAGGAAAAAATGTGCTTTAAAGAAAAGACATTCCAAGACTTAAGCTCAGAGGAGGAGATGGTGTCATTTACAACAAAAAAAAGCAATCAGAGGAGGAATGCTCTAGATTAATTTCTTTGTACTGAGAGTCTGATGTGCTCACAGAATATCCTGAAAGCATGAGCTAGAAAGCAGTTATAGAAGTGGAACCTGGAAGACAGACAAGGTGGAGTACAGGTTTGAGAAATAGCTATGTAGGTGATGGTGGAAGCCAGAGACTGTCCAAGAAGAGGACCAAACCGGACTTAGAACTCTGGGGAAAAGCTACCTTTGGGGACTTAGGTATGAGGAGAAATGAAAGGAATCAGAAGCAGCAGCATAAGGGAGAGGTCAGAAGCTAGGCACTCTGAACTGATTCAGGTATGGGACCACTGGAATGGCTACATCCTGGCTTTACACTTCTATAAGGAAAGCCTTATCAAGGCTAATGGTACTTTTGATCTGGAACTGCACAATTGGAACTGTTTCCAATTATGTTAGTAACTGGAAGCCACTGTTGTTCTTAGTCCTTAACATGGATCTCCTATTTGTGCTTCACTATTAGCTCCTTGAAGGCCTGATGTGGGTTTAACCTCCAACTCATCCCAAGCCTCCAACTCACAGCACCTTATATAATACACAGAAGATATATCCTAACTTTTAAAAATAATTAGATGGCTAGAATCTTGTGACCAAGACAGAACCAAAAATGACAGGAAACATGGAACTCCTCCCCAGGCTCTTCTATGGAGTTTTACTTTTCTGGCCATACAAACCTGGAATGAAGCAACCACTGACTAAACCAAAAGAACTTTCTTATTCATTTCATTCCCAGGAACTGAAATTGCTATCTTAGATTCCTTCCTGACTTATAACTTCATGATATCTAACCAATATTTAAATCCTATGACAGCAGCCTTTCCAGTTTTTCTTGTCTGATCTATAATCTCTCCATGATCAAGACCATCCCGTTTGTCCTCCTATCACCCACCAGTCATTGGTTTCAGCTCTAGAAAATGATCAATATTTCACTTATCACCACTAGAGAAAATGCTAGACAACCCTGAACTTAATAAATGACACCATAAGATCCATCAGTAGAAAACAATTTATTAAATAAAAATTTTAATAATTGTTTTAAAAAAACATGAGGTAGAAGCAAAAACTTTTAGCATATTTAACATCCATTAAAAAAAAAAAGTCCTCCAGAGAAATGGAAGATACAACCCAGCCCAAAGATGGATACACTGAGGTTAAAGTCTGTCACCACAAAAATAATCACCAGGGCAATTTTGTTTTACAAAACATCTTTACACGAAAAGGGAAAACTGAGTAATGTCCCCAAACATAGGAGAATATAAATGTAAGTGAAAATAGGGACATGCCTTTTTAACTTGTCAATTCAGAAAACAAAATTTCTTCTCAAAGGAAGAGTTATTTTCTTTCATATCAAAATCTACTCTAGAATACTGAAATACTGAATACTTAAAAGAGGGTGATAAGGGAAAATAGGAAATTAACTGCAAGTAATCAATTCATGTCATAATTTAAAAGGCTAAGTTTAAAGTGAAAACACATCTAATATCAAAAAGCAAAGTCAGAAAAAAAACCCAGCAAAATGGTCTGTGGATTAGGGACCTTGAAATACAGAAAAGAATCATACCTATGTTCTCATCATCACAAGACTATGCTTAAATGATGAAAACAAAACAACTCTCTTTATCCAGTCTTTCAAATAAAGTTATTATAACATCTAAAAAATGAAATTAGTACTGAAATTTAGACTTAAGAGTTTAAAAGCTGAGACCCAAAAGTTAATCTATCTTTAAAGCCAGTAAAAAATTTATCAAACTATTTTTCTGGGTCATACAAAAATACATGTAGTATAACACCTATAAATTTAGACTTTTCACAGTTTTGGGTACACTTGTACTTAAAAAAATACTCTGTTAAATTTTATATGTTGACAGAATTTTATATTTAACAATATTAACAAGATTATAACAAAAAAATTAACAAAAAGCAAACTCTGAATAGAATACATTTACTTCATTTTGTACCCTTTAGATAAAAGTTTTCTTCACAGTCTAACCAGGCACTACTTTTATAGCAAACAAAATACAAACCACAGGCACTAGCTAGAGGAGATACTGCCCTTGTATGAAAAGGCAAGGAAAACAGTGTTTTATCCTCTTGGAAAATCACCCAATATGTAACAAAAACTTTCATGTTCTCTTGATGGAAGATCAATGATGTAAAATAAATTAAGGAAGACATATATCAACACAATATGGAATTGCAAAAAAACATTTATGACATTATTATTTAACATTTTTTCATTTGGTTTACAAAGACTACAAAAAAAATAAAGATTTTTATGGCATTCTATGGACAATTATGCACTTAAGCAATAAGATTTATATATCTTACCCTAAGACCTTCATATAAGTATTTTTTTAAAAAAATATCTATTTTAAAAATAATCCATACAAGAAATAATTCTCCCTTTTTAATATAATCATTTGTCCTGAATTTTTTAAAAAGGCGATATAAATTTGGGATGAGAGAAGGCAGAAGGAATAACTACTTTTTCTGTATGTGGTCATTCTAGGGCAAGAGATCAATTCCCTTTTTCCCTTTTCTTACTTCACTAACTGTCCTTCCCTGTCACCTTCATTATTTCATTTTGGTCTAACATTACTTCCTGTGAATTGTTTTCTCTGTCTTTTGTAGAATCAGATCTTTGAAATATGCCAATAGAAACACAAGACACTGAGTTTTAATTTATACGAGTATATAAATAAAGTACCCACAGTAGCTCAATGAAATCTGACTATACACAGAACAAAAAGGATATTAATTTTTCTCTGTTTAAATGATTAAAAAGCTTCTCCAAAGGAGGATAGCAGTTTAGTGAGGGCACGCACCCCAGGAGAATCAGTTTATGTTTGGCTCTGGTTATAGCAACATTAAGACGTCGCCAATCCTTCAAGAGTTCACCAAGCTGTAAGAAATACAATTAACAATTATTTGAGTTTTCTTATATATTTGAGTTTTTTCCTGACAAAAAAAGCCACCATTTGTCTTGAACTATGTTGTTACTTTTTTTTTTGTTGTTTTTTTTTTGTTTTTTTTTTTGAGACAGAGTCTCACTTGTTGCCCAGGCTAGAGTGAGTGCCGTGGCATCAGCCTAGCTCACAGCAACCTCAAACTCCTGGCCTCAAGCGATCCTCCTGCCTCAGCCTCCGGAGTAGCTGGGACTACAGGCATGCACTACCATGCCCGGCTAATTTTTTTCTATATATATTAGTTGGCCAATTAATTTCTTTCTATTTATAGTAGAGACGAGGTCTCGCTCTTGCTCAGGCTGTTTTCGAACTCCTGACCTTGAGCAATCCGCCCGTCTCGGCCTCCCAGAGAGCTAGGATTACAGGCGTGAGCCACCGCGCCCGGCCTGTTGCTACTTTTGAAATACAGATTACTACAAAAAGATTCATCAACACATTTAAAATTATAGGCAGTTGGAAAAATTTGCCCACGATGCCAACTTCAAATATTCTGTTATGATACCTTAGCCATAACTTAAAATTGTTAAATACATATAATAAAAATAAAGAACTGGAGCTATCTCCACTCACTGTATCATTGTTTGTAATAGTAATAAAAAGCTATCCTAGTAAAAGATTCAGGGAAGTGGTTAAGTATACTGACACAATGGACAACCATGCAACTGTAAGAAGAGAATGAAACATCCCTCTGTGTACTCATATCGAAAGATCTCCAAGCTATTATTTCATTAAGTAAAAAAGCAAAGTCCAGAATAATGTGTACATTGTCTAGAAGGGTATTAAAAAAACAACAACAAACAAAACCCAGGATGTAATTATCTATGGGGTAAGGATTGAGTAGGTGAGGGAGTAGGAAGGAGACTTTTTATTATGTACATTTTTTAAACCATAAGGATATATAGTTTAGAAAAAATGAATTGAGAGGTAAAAATGTAAAAAACAAAATAAAATAAGAACTGGAATTATCTATAAAGTTCAAAGTATACAAAGGAAGCCTTTTAAAATACCTCAAACAACAGCCAAGAGGTTTTGGAAGGAACCCAACTGTCCACTGATGGATGAATGGATAAATAAAATGTGGTATATACAGATAAAGGAATATTATTAAGCCCTAAAAGGAATGAAGTCCTGTCACATGCTACAACATGGATGAACTAATTGGCTAAGTGAAATAAGCTAGTCACAAAAAGGCAAATACTGTGTGATTCCACTGATACGAGGTACCCAGAGTAGGCAAATTCTTAGAGACAGAAAGTAGAATGGTCGTTACAGGGAATATGGGGAGAGAGATATAGGTAGTTGATCATGAGTATAGAGTTTAGATTTGTGAAATAAAATTGGGAGATCTGTTGAACAACAGAGTGAATATACTTAACACTACTGAACTATACACTAAAAAATGGTTAAGATGGTAACTTTTGTGTTTTAATACCATAATTTTAATAAAGACAGAGAAATGCCCCAAAATAATTAGTACCAAATATTAACTCACAGTTCCATCCTTATTACTTCTAACAAAAGACACTAGAATAATACTTTTGTCTCTTCCTTGATATTTGTCTACTGTATTAACTTCGACCATCCCAATTGAAGAATGTGCCAATAAATCATTGATGATCTTTAATTGCTGCCTGTATGGTGCAATGATGCCAATATCAGAGGGATTAGATCCAGCCTAAACAGAAAAAGGCACAATTTAAAATGAAAAATCCTGATTTTTAAGTTATTTAAGCTTTTCTGAACTTTTTAAATTAAATGTTTATATTATGTAACCAACTGATGTTTATAACACATGTTCCTATCTCAAGGATGAAATACAATGATTGAATTTCCTCTAAATTTATTTTCCATGATGAAATAATTCCTTAGACAATGTTCCCTTGATTTTTAGAGGTTCATGGCAGCATAAGGGTTTGTATGCCACTACAGCAGTGCTGCCACATGCAAAAAAGTACAAAGAAATACATTTCGCTTTCTGCTATCCCTTACATAGAAGTTTCCAATCCCTAATCATAGTGATCACAGCACAGTATTAACACAATTATGACATCACGAAATTATCCCAAATGAAAACTCAAAATGCCATTATAAAAAACTACATGTTTTAGATTAATTTTCTCAAAATAAAAACAATCAGCCTTCAGTCCTTTCATCTTAATAAACAAGGGTTAATGCCTGATTATAAGTTTCTTACAGTCTAATATGCTACTACTCTGCACTTTAACATTTATTAGCCTTGAAAATTTTAAATTACCTTAATAAAAATTGAGGTCAGGAAAACTATTAGTTTGGCTTCTGTTATATTGCTCACACCTCCTTTTTCAACTTGTTCTGGTGCTGGAAGCTAAGTAGAAAAACATGTAGCCTGTTTATAACACAGTAAGTTAAGAGTACTTTAAGTGCACTGGTGGCCACAGCTACTGTACTACCAGATTTAAAGACAGATGAAAATATCTTCTTAGGCCGGGTGTGGTGGCTCACGCCTATAATCCTAGCACTTTGGGAGGCCGAGGCGGGCGGATTGCTCAAGGTCAGGAGTTCGAAACCAGCCTGAGCGAGACCCCGTCTCTACCAAAAATAGAAATAAATTAATTGACCAACTAAAAATATATATACAAAAAATTAGCCGGGCATGGTGGCACATGCCTGTAGTCCCAGCTACTCGGGAGGCTGAGGCAGTAGGATCGCTGAGCCCAGGAGATTGAGGTTGCTGTGAGCCAGGCTGACGCCACGGCACTCACTCTAGCCTGGGCAACAAAGTGAGACTCTGTCTCAAAAAAAAAAAAAAAAAAGTTGAAGGTGAGAGAATAAACAAAAATGAATGATATTAGTCACTTTCAGAAAGCCACACAGAGCCAGCCAGTCTTAAACATGCTACAGTTGAAGCTATAAATACCTAGGAAAGCTGACCACATGGCTGAGCTTCACCTACTTTACTTTGTTATCCCCATTTTATAGGAATCAAATGCAGAAAAGATAAGTAGCTCGCCCAAGGCCTCAAAATAAACTGTGGCACTACGGCTCAAACTTAGATCTGGCTCTACTGTTTGTGCTCTTTCCATCTATTTGCCCCCTTTTATACAAATAAAGGGGCAAATAAAACTGCTACCATACCTGCTAAAACTGTCCAAGGACTACTTTATTCCAATATCATCTCTAAGAAACCTTGATAATTTTTTTTTTTTGAGATGGAGTCTTGCTCTGTCATGTGGGGACATCCATAGATCACTGTAACCTCAAACTCCTGGGCTCAAGTGATCCTCCCACTTAGCTACCACTAAGTACCAGTAGCTGAGACTACAAGCATTTGCCACAATACTCAGCTAATTTCTTCTATTTTTAGTACAGTTGAGGTCTTGCTCTTGCTCAGGCTGGTCTCAAACTCCTGAGCTCAAGCAATCCTCCTACCTTGGCCTCCCAGAGTGCTAGGATTACAGACATGAGCCACCTCACCTAGCCAGAAACCTTGATAATTTTTAATACATATTATTTAAAATTCTGATGCTGTAAAAGAGGAAACTTGAACAGCAAAAATAAAGAATGTGAGCAATCACCCATGAAGTAAATAATTGTAAATTACAATAAACAAACTGAAATCACTGTTTCAGTGATTCAGTGTTTATAAAAGCAGTCCTTTGTGCAATCAGTTTATCTGAATAAACTTCCCAGAGGCTGCCTGCCTCAAAGTCTTAAGATAAAATCAAATTCTTGAACCTGAATTGCTAAGGGCAATATCTAAGAGATGAAAATTCTATCCTAGACAAGTAGCAAGGCCCCATTTTAAACAACCAGCTGGCTCCACCCATCTTAACAAAAGACATAATTATTTTAAATTAATATGCATACACATAATTGGTTGCTATATTTTTATTTAAACTTATGTAAAGACTTGCAGCTCAATGCTGAGAAGCACTATATAAAGCAAACCGTAGGAATATGGGTCAAAATTTCATTCTTAGTTTTCAGAAATAAGAGCCAAGTCATTTAAAGTCCTCATGAAGTTTTTTTAATGACAGGTTTGTAAAAAGGTCTTTATGTGCATATGCGGGGGAAGGAGTATATGAGAAATCTCCATATCTTTCACTTAATTTTGCTGTGACCCTAAAACTGCTCTAAAAAATAAAGCTTGGCTGGGAGTGGTGGCTCATGCCTATAATCCTAGCACTCTGGGAGGCCGAGGCAGGATGATTGCTTGAGCTCAGAAATTCTAGACCAGCCTAAGCAAGATCAAGACTCCGTCTCTACTAAAAATAGAAAGAAATTAATTGGCCAACTAAAAATATATAGAAAAAACTAGCTGGGCATGATGGCGCATGCCTGTAGTCCCAGCTACTCGGGAGGCTGAGGCGAGTTTGAGGTTGCTGTGAGCTAGGCTGACGCCACAGCACTCTAGCCCAGGCAAGAGAGTGAGACTCTTGTCTCAAAAAAAAAAAAAAAAAAAAAAAAAAAAAAAAAAAAAAAAAACAAAAAAAAAAACAACTATAAAAAAATAAAATAAAGTCTATTTTTAAAAGTCTTTAAAAGGTTATTAATTTATTATATCTTCTGGCCACATGTAAATCCAGCCGTTTGGTAGTATCAGTGCCAATTTCTTTTCCAGGAAATACAGTTACACCCTCGAGTTGACTTTGTGGCCTTCCTTCTTTGAATGGTAATTTTGACATCTACCAACCCCCAGAATAAACCTCTCCCTCCAAAAGATATTAGGCCTATAGAAAGAAGACTCTTTTGTGTTGCAGTATGAGAAGGTCACTAGGTTGGCCTTTTAACTGATAAGCCTTAAGAGAACAAACAGTAACGCAAACTGAGAAATGTAAACAATATGTCAAAAGGAGAAAACTAAAGAAAAAAATTTTTTTTACCTTTTCAGTATTAAGAAAACAAACAGGATTGTTTGGCTCAAATACTCCAATCAGCCAAGGATTATGAGAATAATCTGCATAAAATTCCAGTTCCAGCTTAACATCTTTAAAGTTAGGTAGGTGTATCACTGCATTGGCCACTTTCTCTGATCCACATTCCAGCTTTCCCTCATAGGTCAGCTTATTACTTAAGGACATAATTTTACTAAGGGAATTACAAAAAATAATTTTAGTTTTTATAGATGAAAACAAACATGAAGACCACTCATACCTAACCCTGTTACAAATACCTGTTCATTCTGTACTGTACAGTTAATTGTACAACAGCATTCTTATTCTGCTCCAGCCTCTTGAATAAGCTTTCACTCATGCCAAGAGCTCTGTCAACAAATCAAATTGAGGCTTAACGATTAAAACTGTCCCTTAAAAAGAATCCAGTTGAAAATGAAAACTAAATATCCACCCACCTTGCTTCTCTGTTTAGCACCAGAGGAGGAAGCTGCTGATGGTCCCCCACCAACACGAATCTCCGTGAAAAAAAAAGTGGCCCCAGGCAGATGGGTTGGCTAATTTGAGAGGCTTCATCCACAATACAAAAATCGAAAGTTTTACGGGAAAATATTGGATGGTTTATTCCCATACATGTTGTTGCAACTATAAGCTAAAAAAAGAGAAAACAGATGAGTTATTTAGTATGTAAATGAAATGCAGTTTTGTGTTTCCAAGTTTTGAAATTAAAAAATCAAAGGCAGGCCAGGCGAGGTGGCTCATGCCTGTAATCCTAGCACTCTGGGTGGCCAAGGCAGGCGGATTGCTCAAGGTCAGGAGTTCGAAACTAGCCTGAGCAAGAGCGAGACCCCGTCTCTACTATAAATAGAAAGAAATTAATTGGCCAACTAATATATATAGAAAAAATTAGCCGGGTATGGTGGCGCATGCCTGTAGTCCCAGCTACCTGGGAGGCTGAGGTAGTAGGATCGCTTAAACCCAGGAGTTTGAGGTTGCTGTGAGCTAGGCTGATGTGCCACAGCACTCACTCTAGCCTGGACAACATTGCGAGACTGTCTCAAAAAAAAAAAAAAAAAAATCAAAGACAGTTTTTTGTTCCCTAGCATCAGGAATCCTCCAACATTATCATTATTTTTGAGGTGGGGTCTCTCTGCCACCCAGGCTAAAGTACAGTTGTCCTAGCTCACTACAACCTCAACTTCCTATGCTCAAGCGATCCTCCTGCCTCAGCTTCCCAAGTAGCTGGGACTGCAGGCATTACAAAGAAAGAAAGAAAAAGAAATAACAGCTAAAGATGCCCCACAGTTAGCAAGAGACATTAAATTTATACATAGGATAAGCTGAGAGAACCCCAAATAGAAAAAACCAAAAACATCTACTACCAAATACATAATAATTAAAATTCTAAAAACGAAAGGAAAAAAATCTTGAAAGCAGCCAAAGAAAACAATACTTTGCAATTAGGAAAAAACTTATGAATCTGAGTGACAGCGCATTTGTCTTTAGAAACCACGGTAGCCAGAAGGAAGCAGCAGAACATTTTTCAAGAACCGTTAACCCAGAATCCCATACTTAGTAAAACTATCCTTCAGGAATGAAGAGAAAACTCAAGACTTTTCACACTGAAGGAAAACGAAGAGAGTTTGTTGTCACCTGACCTTCCACTCTAAAAGAATTGGTACTCAGGTTGGAAGGCAGAGGTGGGAGGCTCAGTTAATACCAGGTTCAAGACCAGCCTAGGCAACACAGAGAGGTCCTATCTCTACAAAATAATTAAACATGTGTGGTAGTATGTGCTTGTAGTCCCAGCTACTGGGGAGGCTGAAGTAGGAGAATTGCCTGAGCCCAGGAGTTTGAGGTTACTTACAGTGAGCTACAATCACACTATTGCACTACAGCAAAAGAGCGAGACCTTGTCTCAAAAAAAAAAAAAAAGAAAAGAAAAAGTAGTTTGATCTATATTATTTTTATTAAACAAGGAAATGATAAAACAAGGAAATTTGGAACATCAGGAGGGAAAAAGGAACCCGATAAACAAACATACAGAATAATACAATAGGGTTTCCTTCTGAAAATTATGTTTGATGGTTGAAGCAAAAATTATAACACTGTATGATGTAGTTCTAAAGTTAAACCAATTTAAGACAATTATAAACAAGGGAGGGTAAAGGGGCATTAATGGAGGTAAGCTTCCTTACTTGAACTGGCAAAATGATGACACCAGTACATTGTTATGTATATGTAATATAATACCCAGAGCTACAGAGCAACCAGCAAAAATGCTGCTTAAAGAGATACACTCAAAAACAGATAAATTAAAATGGAATTCTAAAAAATGTCCACACAATCCATAGGAAGGCAGGAAATAGAAAACAGAGAAATAAAGAACAGAGAACAGAAATTAAAATATCCAGCTATATGCCATCTACAAGGAACTCCCTTCAAATATAATGATATAGGTATGTTGAAAGCAAAATGATGTAGTATTAGATTGATTTTCATAGGTTAAATGGTCCTTGGCCTATGGGATTAAATCCCACTTGGTTATGGTATATAATCCTTTTAATATATTGCTGAATTTAGCTTACTAGTATTTTGTTGAGCATTTCAGCACCACACAAATATGCCCAATTGATTTTGTATATTTTTTTTAGAGATGAGATCTTACTATGTTGCCCAAGCTGGACTAGAACTCGTTGGTTCAAGTGATCCTCCTGCCACAGCCTCTGGGGAGGGAGGGATGGAAAAAGGGAGGGGCTGAAAAATAAATAAATACTGGGAATAAACCAGATTTTTAATGGGTGAATGAATGGTTAAACACACTGTAGTACATCCATACGATGGAACAATACTCAGCAATAAAAAAGAACATTGGTTGAACATGGGGGGCAAAATAAAGAAAAAAGAACCATTAATACATACAACAATCTGGGTGAATCTCCAGGGAATTAGCCTGAATGAAAAATGCCAATCCCAAAAGGTTACATACTGTATGACTCCATTTCTATAGCATTTTTGAATGATAAAATTATAGAAATGGAGAACAAATTAGTGGTTGCCAGGGATAAAGGAGTGAGCAGGGCAGGAGAGAAGTGGGTACAAATATAAAAGTGCAACATGAAGGACCTTGTGGTAATAGAACATTGTATCAATGTCAATATCCTGGCTGTGATATTTGTTCTACAGACTTACAAGATGTTACCACTGGTTAAGGGTACACAGGATCTGGCTATTACTTCTTACAACAGCATGTGAAATCTACCATTATCTCAAAATAAAAAGTTTAATTTAAACAGACAACCAGACTTATCTCTTGGCCATTTCAAAATTTATCAACAATAGGTATAGATGTTAGACCAAAACATATTAGTATTAGACAAAGGATTCGGAGGAAAAGCCTATTAAATCTAATTTAAATTTTTGGCAAATGTTTAAAGACAAAAGCATCAGTTAAGCTAGGCACTGTGGCACACGCTTGTAGTCCTAGCTACGTGGGAGGATGAGGCAAGAGAATCACTTGAGCCTGGGAGTTCAAGGCCAGCCTGGACAACATAGACTCCATCTCTTTAAATAAAAAATAAAATCATTTAAGGCCGGGAGTGGTGGCTCACGCCTGTAATCCTAGCACTCTGGGGGCCAAGGCGGGCAGATTGCTCAAGGTCAGGAGTTCGAAACCAGCCTGAGCAAGAGTGAGACCCCGTCTCTACTATAAATAGAAAGAAATTCATTGGCCAACATATATATATAAAAATAGCCGGGGATGGTGGCACATGCCTGTAGTCCTAGCTACTTGGGAGGCTGAGGCAGCAGGATTGCTTGAGCTCAGGAGTTTGAGGTTGCCGTGAGCTAGGCTGACGCCACAGCACTCACTCTAGCCTGGGCAACAGAGTGAGACTCTGTTTCAAAAAAAAAAAAATCATTTAAGATTTCCAATAAAAATAGACATTAAACAAAAATAAGAATTCGATTCTATATAAAAGCCTAGAATACTTATCATAAGACTATTAAGTACTATTGTTTCTGATTCAAATTCACTAAAATATCCTGATTATTAGTATTTTCTAGGATATCTCAAACTAGAAGAAGGGAGCCCTGAATAATAAACAAAAAAGCTCATTTCAGTCAGAAGGAAATAGCAAACTATAAATTAATAAACTGGCCCTATGGCATATATAAACCAGATACAGACATGGTCAATATGAATAAATTTCCCAGGGTATTATTTCTGCTCTCATTCTGGCTATAGAAATTACTGTCAATATTATTATAAAATAATTGTACTTACTTGACTATCATAGAGTTCTTCTAGAAGAGCTAAGGATTTAATGGACTTTGATCTGCAAATTTCCTCCTCCGTAAATTTCTGGATATCTGGATGAACCTTCTGAGTCTGACCCAAACGCAAAAATCCTATTTTAAACTTAGCTAACTTCAAAAGAATATTGTCAACAGCAGAGTGTGTATAGCTCGTCAACAAAACACTGAAACCACAGGCATAGAGGATTCTTACCTAATAACGGATAAAGAAAGACAGCATTACTTTTAATTCCAGGTAATTTTTAACATGCTTATATTTTCCAAACAGAATTAGAAAACTTAACAGGAAACATACCTAAGAGCTGAGCCAAGTAACTTTAAAAAAAATTATAAAGCCAAACTACACTACAAAAATTATATGGTATTATTATTGTTTATAATACATTATAAATGATAATAAAATTGAATACTTATCAATTTTTAATAATGTCTGGCACACAGTGTCAATAAGTATTTGCTGTCATCATCATTATGATTATTCTAAGACTGCTTAGAAATTTACTAACACGAGGCCAGGCATGGTGGCTGATGCCTGTAATCCTAGCACTCTGGGAGGCTTAGGCGGGAGGACCCCTTGAGCCCATGAACTGGAGGTTGCTGTGAGCTGTGACAATGCCATGGCACTCTAACCTAGGTGACAGAGCAAGACTCTGTCTCAAAAAAAAATTTACTGACATTAAAAAAAAAAAAAATCCAAGAAAAATCTATGTCAACCATCTCTAAATAATGTATCATTTGTTTTTATTTTTTTTGAGACAGTCTCGCTTTGTTGCCCAGGCTAGAGTGAGTGCCGTGGCGTCAGCTTAGCTCACAACAACCTCAAACTCCTGGGCTCAAGTGATCCTCCTGCCTCAGCCTCCCAAGTAGCTGGGACTACAGGCATGTGCCACCACGCCCGGCTAATTTTTTCATATATATCAGTTGGCCGATTAATTTCTTTCTATTTATGGTAGAGACGGGGTCTTGTTCTTGCTGAGGCTGGTTTCGAACTCCTGACCTCAAGCAATCCACCTGCCTCGGCCTCTAGAGAGCTAGGATTACAGGCGTGAGCCACCGCGCCTGCCTATAATTTATCATTTTTAAAGGGAAAGGAAAACATACAGTTATATATATCACATATCACTTACAGAAAGAGACCTTAGAAAAATCTGATTGCAAGAAATCTATAACATGACAACTATTTATGATTTAGCTTTACTAACTCTTAAGGCACTCTATGAAGTTCAGTTAAAATAAGACATTTCGAATTAAAATTTAGCCCTTTTGATGTCAAACATCACATCCTCTGAACTAATGTAAATATTTCAGAGAAGCTGATGTATTAATAAATATTTAGTTTCTAAGCAAAAGAATAATAACCTTACGAGAGTACATATTGTAGTTGTTTTTCCTGTCCCAGGCATACCCACGATGAGTGTGTAATCTTTTGAAAGAAGTACCTTTTTCATTGCTTGCCTCTGAGGCTTATTCAAACCTACATTTAAATTAAAAAATAACAGGAAAAAGAATTTCAATGAACAAATCAACTGTTTTATGAGAAAAGCAGTCTCTATCTCAGTCTGTTCTTTTTTTTTTTTTTTTTTTGAGACAGAGTCTCACTTTGTTACCCAGGCTAGAGTGAGTGCCGTGGCGTAAGCCTGGCTCACAGCAACCTCAAACTCCTGGGCTCGAGTGATCCTTCTGCCTCAGCCTCCCGGGTAGCTGGGACTACAGGCATGCGCCACCATGCCCGGCTAATTTTTTATATATATATCAGTTGGCCAATTAATTTCTTTCTATTTTTATGGTAGAGACGGGGTCTCGCTCAGGCTGGTTTTGAACTCCTGACCTTGAGCAATCCGCCCGCCTCGGCCTCCCAAGAGCTAGGATTACAGGCGTGAGCCACAGCGCCCGGCCTACAGTCTGTTCTTTAATACATCTTTTCAAAGTAAAAAAAAAATGTCAATAGTGACATTAAAGAATATATAATATATAAACTACTTCTAAAGAGTCTCGGTCTGAACATTATAATTACAAAGTCTAATCAATTATTAAGATATTAGACTACAGTATAGTTTAAATTAAATAGAACCAAGAAAAAGTCATCAAAGCTGACATGCTGACTACAGCGTACCCTTTATTTTTTATTTATTTATTTTTGAGACAGAGTCTCACTTTGTTGCCCAGGCTAGAGTGAGTACCGTGGTGTCAGCCTAGCTCACAGCAACCACAATCTCCTGGGCTCTAGCAATCCTACTGCCTCAGCCTCCCAAGTAGCATGGGCCACCATGCTCGGCTAATTTTTTCCATATATATATATATATGTATTAGTTGGACAATTAATTTCTATTTTTATAGTAGAGATGGAGTCTCGCTCTTGCTCAGGCTAGTTTTGAACTCCTGACCTCGAGCAATCCGCCCACCTCGGCCTCCCAGAGGGCTAGGATTACAGGCGTGAGCCACCGCGCCCGGCCCAGCATACCCTTTAGAATGCAGGCAACTGTATCCTTTGCATCATGTGGAAGAACAGAACTGAGGTAGAATATAAACTGAGGTTCACGAAAGTCAATGATTAAATCTCGAAGTTTTTTGCTGAAAAGAAAAAAAATACTTTTAGTAATATTCCTTTAAAAAGCAGGGTGAAATTCAGATTCATTCATTGTTACAAACCTGACATCTGTGTTTTCCATTAATTTAGAAAGATTTCCTAATGGTGTATCTATATCACAATTTTTCTCTTCCTGGTCTAATCTGAGTAAAGTTGATTCTGGGAGTATCGACAAGTTCCTGTAACAGCAAAACAAATACACATGAATGCTTTTCACATCTCATAGTCTGTATGAGAAACTTACTGCTATCTGCTAAAAGAGTAAATGACCCAGAATAGCTTATTAAAATGGCTACCAGCCTCTCAGTCACACTTGCCAATCGAAGACAAAGCATGAGGCCCTGGATTGGTGAGGAAAGGGGGAAGGGTAGAATACAAGGCACCAAAATCAAGGCAATTAATAATCAGGAACCCACAACATTTGCTGAAAATTCACTTGACCTTGGAGTCTAACATGGGCTCACCAGTCCCAAGAAGGAACCTGAGCACAAGGCTCCTTCCTTACTCCCTCCTCCAGACTGAAGTACAGGTCTCTTTCCTACTGCCTTCTCCCACTCCTCTATCTGCCCCTTAAGCCCTAGTGTTCCCTAGTCCCTCCCCTGATCCACCATACTGCTCGTTCTCACTTTCCCCTATGGTCCCAGGCCCTCATGTGGCTCCAAATCCCAAATCTACATCTTCAGGCCTGACCTCACGACTCCTTCCCTACGTGGTTCCTCATCTAAGTTTCAGGATCTACACTGCTGACTTGATCCTTCTCTCTCTCTCACCTTCTTCCCAACCCACACATCCAATCAGTATCCAATTACCAGCTAATGTGACTTTCTAAATACTTATCAAAGTCATTCTGTCCTCTCTGCCAACACTACCTTGCCTTCATTGCCTCTGTCCTGGGCCACTACAACAGCTTTCTTTTCTTGGCTTTCAGCTTTGCCTCCATTAATTAATTCAATTCTTCATAAGGTATCCACAGAAAAAATGCAAACATTCCTGTTTAAAACCCTTCAGTACATCTGAATAAATAAAATCAAAACTTCTTAACATGGTATGTAAGACCTTCTATAAACTGACCTCTCCAATCATCCCATCCTTGTATTTTACATTCCAGAAATACTTAATTACCTGCACTTTCATGAATGCTCCGTATTATATCATGCCATCATGCCTTTGCACAACATGCTCACTTGGTCTGGCACATTCATCTCACACTGCTTCACAAAGCTGATTTACTAATCCATAGAATGAAGATCCAGAATTGGCATTGAAAAAGCCTTCCCTGAGCTTCCTAAAATTGGGTTAAATACCTCTCCTTTGCGTTCCAATCAATTTGAACACATCATATTAGACTGAAAATATGTGTAAGTGTCTACCCACAAGATCATAAATTCCTCAAGGATTTGTAAAGTACCTAATACATGCTAGGCACTAAATAAAAACTGCAAGGGACCGCAGGGAATCCTAATAGATGACAGGAATGTTGTGTCTCATAATCCTATATCATGAGACCCAGACTAGAGTTGGTTATGACTCAACTAGAATTACTAGTTGGTAGGGAACAAGCCTAGACATTATGGTTACTCAGACTCACCACTATGGTCACTAAGTCTCAATTGCTAACTTCCATCCATTAAAAAATGGTGAGGCATGCCTGCAAGGAAGGCCGGCCAATACAGCCTAGCTGAATGTGAAAGAAGAACAATATGGATATTAGTGAATATGGATATTGGTCTCTGCCACAGATTTTCATATCAACTATTCTAATATAAATGGAAATAAACATTTTGTTTTTTAATAGGAAACAAAATAATGAGTGCCCAGAGTGCTAAGGAGAAATAAGCCTTATAGCCAACACAGGGTAGTATGCTGCCTCCTATACATGTGGTTGTGAGAATTACATAAGATTATGGCCACATAGTAGTATGGAACTATGTACTAATGTACTATTAATAAACAAAAGTTTAGCAGTTGGGTAGTTCCTCAAAGTGTTAAACACAAAATTAGCAAATGACCTCGCTATTCCACACCTACGTAACTACAAAGGAAAATGAAAATAGGTCCACACAAAAATTTGTATGTGAATGGTCATAGCAACATATTCATAACAGCAAAAAAGTGGAAACAACTCAAATGTCCATCAGCTAGTGATGGATGAGCAAAATGTGGTCCATCTATACAAATAGTGTATAATCATCAGCCATAAAAAGAAATGAGGTACATATTTTTTCAATCTAAGTGTTTAAATTGATGCCACTGTGTATTAAATGCCACTGAATTATACACATTAAAATGATTAATGGGGCCGGGCGCGGTGGCTCACGCCTGTAATCCTAGCACTCTGGGAGGCCGAGGCGGGCGGATTGCTCAAGGTCAGGAGTTCAAAACCAGCCTGAGCGAGGACCCGTCTCTGCCATAAAAATAGAAAGAAATTAATTGGCAACTAATATATATAATATAAAAAAAATCAGCCAGGCATGGTGGCTCGTGCCTGTAGTCCCAGCTACTCGGGAGGCGAGGCTGAGCAGAGATCGCTTGAGCCCAGGAGTTTGAGGTTGGCTGTGAGCTAGGCTGAGCCACGGCACTCACTCTAGCCTAGCAAGAAAGCGAGACTCTGTCTCAAAAAAAAAAAAAAAAAAAAAGATTAATGGTCAATTTTATGTTATGTGAATTTTACCTCAATATTAAAAAAAAGGAATAAAGTACTGATATGTGCAATGGGTGAAAAAAAAAAAAAAAATGTTCACAATAGGCAAATCTATAGAAACAAAAAGTAAATTAGTGGTTACCTTTGGCTGGGGGAGTTGGAAAGAAATGAGAAGTGACTATTAAGGGATATAAGGTTTCTTTTTAGGGTGATGAAAACACTCTAAAATTGATTGTGGTAATAGCTGCACAACTCTGTGTATATACTAAAAACCACTGAATTGTACCCTTTAAATGGATTAACTGTATGTTATGTGAACTATGTGTCAATAAAGCTATTACCAAAAAAAGTAATGTTTCATTACCTGTCTAATAAACAGGTTACTGTTGTCATGTTAATCTCCTTCACATATCCCCGGGACAAAGCAAACAGTGTTCTCTCTTCTCCACTTAAAATAATTCTGTCACCTGCCATTAGATTTGTGACAGGTATGGTACCATTTTTACGTAGGAAATTATGTAAATACTGTCCATCACCAACTGTCTTTACATGTTTTGTTCTAATCAGGTTTCCAATGCAGTTGCCATTCTCCTCCCTATGAAGAAGGACAAAGAGAGAAAACTTCCATTTACATCACATATGTAAGTATTCTGTATTTGTATTTTCATACAATTGTCCATCCGATCCCTAAAAACTAATGCTAATAGTGAGTCTGCCATTTTCACATTTTCCACAATCTACAGTGAAGTGTTCAAAATGCTAAATAAACATTCTCCCTATAAATTTTTAACTAATCTCTCCATAATAGACTTACAGAAAAGTAGTAGGGAATACTCTCCTACTTGTACCACAAGCTGCCATCTCTGAACAAGGTGTTTTATTGGCACTTTGATCCTTGAACGATTCCCCACCTCTTGGGCTGACACACATAACATTACAAAAGACAAATCATAATAACGTTCTCCTAAATGTGATGTGAAAAAATAAGATCAGGTGAGGTGGCTCACACCTGTAATCCTAGCACTCTGGGAGGCCAAGGTGGGAAGATTGCTTGAGATCAAGAGTTCAAGAGCAGTCTGAGCAAGAGCAAGACCCTGTCTCTACTGAAAACATAAAAATTAACCAGGCATCCTAGGGAGTGTTTATAGTCCCAGCTATTCAGAAGGCTGAGGGAGGGGGATCACATGAACCCAGGATTTTGAGGTTGCAACATGCTATGATGACACCTCTGTACTCTATCTGGGGCAACAGAGTAAGACTCTATCTAAAAAAAAAAAAAAGGTTCTACAAAGACAATGAGATTGACCTTTAGAAAATTTGAATCTCCATCAAAAACTTACTGAAAATATAAACTTTTAAAATACTAATATTGGTGCACTCAGAATCTCGGTCATGAGGAGGAGGAGAATGTGGCCCTCAGAGGGGAAATGGCTGCTGAAAACAAGCCAGAAGATAATCACGAGAACAGCATAGTAGTCATGTAAACATCTTTTTACTGAAAAAGCTGCTTGAACGTCTGCCGAAATGTTCAAGTTTACATTGGAATGTTGATGATAGATCATGATGCAGCCATCCTTCCATCCTTTTGGATTTCTTTTTAATAATGTGTGACCCTTCACCTTTGATCCCCTGACCTGCATTACCTTGGTAACCATTTCATTTTTAACTTAATTTTCATTTTTTAATTTTGGTGTATAAGCTGTAACATTTCAGCTCTCAAAGTGTTAACATGATAATTTCCTCAGATACAGATAGCCCTCTGAACGATAAATTTGCAACATACTGTCTTTGTTTTCTGTATTAAAATTCATTTTTTAAAATACTATTTAAAAAATTAAGCAAAACATCATTAATCTGCATTCTACCAATATGTAACAATTTACTCAAGTTTTATAATGTTATTACTGTCTAATAAAGATTTACTAATCATTTTTAAAATAAGACTTCTTAAGGCATATTTAACTTATAAAAAATATATATAACTAACAATGATTGTAGCACATGGCATTCATAGAAATGGTGTTCTACTTGGAAACAATTCATTGACAACCATCTGGAGTTGTCATGAATAAATGAAATCACAAATCTTTAACAAGCTATATAACCTCTATTTGTAGCATTCCAAATTCCATCACACTAGTTAATCCAAAATACTGAAATTTTACTGTATTAAATGGGCCACTTACATTTTTGAAGCAGGCATTAACCAGATATTTTGGTGATTTTTTCTGTTATCCTTTGACTGTGACTCCAGAGTTAACATTAGACACCAAAGCCTGAAATACTCTAAGTGTGTAAGCTTCAGATGCTGGATTTCTTCTTCTATTTTGGGCAGCATGACAATTGGGACTGAACTGTCATCCGCATGTTGTTCAACTGCTCTAAATATAAAGTTCCAAGTTAAATGTTTATAAACCATTTCACTAGCTGGCTATAAAATGAGGTATTTCTAAAATAAGCACACATATATGATCATCATAATGCACAACTACAGCATCTATTTTTCCTTAAATATCATTTCAATATTTTACAAGCCATATAGTTTTTTACAAAACAAAATGTGTAAGAAACTCAATACTGCATTATTTTGCCTTCAATGACTAGCCCCTAACAAATTTAAATTTGGTTTAGTATACTCTGGTATTCATTCCATATGCTGCAAGTTTTGGCTTTTTGTATAACAGTATTTCTCAAAATCACAAAAATTAATACACCTAGCTATGTGACATAAGGAAAAAAACATAAAAACAAGGAAAATCATTTAGATTTTGGTTAATACTAAGTTAAAACATTTTAATGTAGAAACAAACATGTTATAGAAGAGCATAGAAAGCAATGAAAATAAAACATAAGATTTCAAAGAAATGTGCTACAAGCCAAGACATGGTTCACAGTCCTCTGCAATTAAGAGATCCTTTGAAAGAATACTTTAAAAGTACTTTATGTGGGATAGGTGTGCTGGCTTATGCTGATAATCCCAGAACTTTGGGAGACTAAAGTGGGAGACTGCTTGAAGCCAGGAGTTCAAGACCAGCCTGAGCAACATAACAAGACAATGTCTCTACAAAAAATAGAAAAATTAGCCAGGCATAATGGTACATGCCTATAGTCCTAGCTACACAGAAGGCTGAAGCAGGAGGATCACTTGAGGAGTTTCAGGCTACAGTGAGCTATGATGATGCCACTGCAATCTAGCCCAGGTAACAGAATGAGACTCCATTTCACCAAAAAAAAAAAAAAAAGGACTTTATATGAATTTTCAGAACAAATTAGAACTTTGGCTCAGATTTGACCTTGTTTCCTAGATTGTATGTACATCTAACTTTTTGTGCCCTTCAGAACTTTCACTGGCCTATGAAGGTATATACAGTTATTCATATGACAATAAAATTTCCATTTGTAAAAAATAGCCACACATAAATAGGACAGGCTCATTCGTTGGGTCATATCAAAGTGTCTATCTGGAAAAACAAATTTCCCTGTATCTAACTACAGAAGGCCTGAAATTAAAATACCAACTAAGAGGCCGGGCGCGGTGGCTCAAACCTGTAATCCTAGCACTCTGGGAGGCTGAGGCGGGCAGATTGCTCAAGGTCAGGAGTTTGAAACCAGCCTGAGCAAGAGCAAGACCCCATCTCTACTATAAATAGAAAGAAATTAATTGGCCAACTAATATATATATATATATATATAAAAAAAAATTAGCTGGGCATGGTGGTGCATGCCTGTAGTCCCAGCTACTCGGGAGGCTGAGGCAGAAGGATTACTTGAGCCCAGGAGTTTGAGGTTGCTGTGAGCTAGGCTGATGCCACGGCACTCACTCTAGCCTGGGCAACAAGCGAGACTCTGTCAAAAAAAAAAAAAAAAAAAATACCAACTAAGAAATGAACGATGTCTTGAAATATCATTTAAGAAAAATCAAATTCAAAATGCCTATACAGGTTGAATATCCCTTATCTGAAATGCTTGGGACTAGAAATGTTTCAGACTTTGGTCTATTTGCAGCATAGTGGTTGAGAATCCCTAATACAAAAATCTGAAATCTGAAATGCTCCAATGAGCATTTCTTTTGAGCATCATATTGGTGCTCAAAAATTTGTACATTTTGGATTTTCAGTTTTCAGACTTGGGATGCCCAAAGTGTCCTATATTAATATCTTTCTTAACCAGATTCCACAGTCCTAAAATTATTTCACTTCACAGAAATCAGATACAGCAAGATTAAAATATCCACTTTTGGAAAAAGTTTTTTTTTTTTTTCATAAGAGACAAGTCTCATTCTGTCACCCAGGCTAGAGTGCAGTGGCATGAGCATAGCTCATTGTAACCTCCAAACCACAACCAGCTAATTTTTTTTAAAAAATGTCTTACAGAGAAGTGGTCTATATTGCCCAGGGTGGTCTCAAACTCCTAAGCCACTGCATATGGCCCTGGAAAAAAGTTTTAAAAGCACTCTATTATTTCCTAAGGAAATGAGCTTCTTGGAAAATAGGAGGCTGGATGTGGTGGCTCACATCTGTAATTCTAGCACTCTGGAAGGCTGAGGTGGGAGGATTATTTGAGCTCAGGAGTTCGAGAACAGCCTGAGCAAGAGCAAGACCTTGTCTCTAAAAAAAGAAATAAAAAAGAAAATATAAACTGTGTTTTTTCTTCTGTTCCCTTCATTTTAGAAATACTACACAGAAAGGAAAAGCTAAAAGAAAAATATCTAAGATGAAATAATCAATGCCAGACCAGATTTAACATTTAACCAATGTTAAATCATATTGAGTTCATACTCAAATTGAAATAATGCTTTTGGCAGACAGTATTTACCTGCTATAAAGGGCACAGTTGCCCCTTTGTGAACAATATTTACACGTTTTCTCTTCCTCAATTATTTGTGGCAAAGAAGCAAGCTGTGTTTTCTGTCCAGAAGCAGATTTGCTAATACGGTGAAACAAAAAGAATGCCATCTGGTTTCTTAGCTTTAATAATTCTATGGGGAAAAAAAAAGGGTGTATTTTTAAGAAATAAAATTTATTATATATCTTATTTTTTACCTATGTAATATCATATATCTTTTTCATTATATAAGTAAAACTTTAAAATTTAAGAAAATTTTAAAAAGTAGAGAACAACATTCATATTTCCCAGTATATTAGAACTAACTACTATTAACGTTTTGGTATATTTCCTTTGAGTTTTTGTTCCCTTGGTAAGATCTTTAAACTACATATCTAATAACCAGTAAGTATTGTAAAGGTGGTATTTTATTAGCTGAATGCTAAGGATAAACAGAGCTAACTAGAATAGCTCTAATGTAAGACAAAAAGTTAAAAACAAACTTTTGTATAATAAAATTTTCAAAGGTACTAACCTTTGAAAATGTTTTCAACTATAGAGCTTGACATTTTATAATAAGTATATTATAAAAATTCTTTTTAAAAAATACAACTGAAAATTATAACCTGTATTACACCTAGCAAGTACAGTGGGCAAACTGCCAAACATAAATACATATCGCCAAAAGCTGAAGAGGGGTGGGGGGCAGAGAAGTACAACTGAGAGAAAGCAGCTCAACCTCTTTTGTCTAGATGGTTGGCAGGCACAGGGTACATCTGACCAGTCTTGAGGTAGAGAAGCCAGCCAGCCTCTGGATCAGCTCTTCTCTCTTGACTTAGCAGAGTGTACAGAACAACCTGCACAAACAACAAACATTTTCTCAAACAAAACTGTAACTTTCTGTATTTCCCTACATTGTCTTACAGTGAACAGACTATAATTTTAAAATCAAAAGATCAATGATGCTATTTCCATTTCGAAAACATGAACCAAATTGGCAAAGTAACACAGCAAATTTGATGTCATTTAATTTCCACAAAACAAACATAATTCATGCTTTTGAGTTTTATTTAAGACAATGAAGAAAAATAGAGAATTTTTCTTAGATAATATGTTTAGATTTCCAATAAATTAAAAAAGGAAATTAATCAAGCTATGTTTTACATTTTGAAGTTAACAGTCTTTAGATACTATTTTCCCTCTTTAATGAAGACTAAATGCATAAATGTCATAGTTACTATGACAAATAAGACAAACTCTATAGTATGTCTTTTGAGAGCATGAGATGTCATTAACTGCCTTACATTTAATGGTGTTCTTCAAAGAAACCATCTAAAACAAGTTAAAAATAGTCACTTTAGCACATTAAAAACGTTAGTAGCAAAAGCATGTCATTTAGTTGGAGCCCTATACAACCTAAAGATGAGCTAATTTGTTTTCTAACAGATCTCCAAGATTCAAATATTAATAATTTAAGAAAGCCCAGTCCCAAATAAAAAACAAAATAAATAAATAAATAAAAAGTCCAGTCCTTAAATCATAAAATTCTAAAATAACAAGTCTAATAATTATAATTAGAACCTGTTTTTCTAAACTACATTTAAAATATGATTAATTTATAGAAGATACAAGTATTATTTGCTATAAAAATATTAACTATATCTACAAATTCATCATTAAGTGTCCACAGCAGGTTTACAAAAATCAAAAGTTTTGCTCTTTCGTTCCTATCAAAAATAATGATGTTTGTGAATCAGCGAATGCAACAGAAATAAAGAAGAAATCTCAATATGCAAATGTTTCAAAGAAAATAAATACCACATGCTTCAATGTTCAAAGACATTTATAGAAATATTTATAACCTCAAATGTCAACAAAGTAAAATTTGGAAACATTTAGTCCTAAGGAAATAATCATGTCAGAGTTTTGATAGTTTAGTTTGATCTCCTAAATTCAACTATATACATAAGATGTTATGAATGGCTACTGCTTTAACTTCTGAGCATATGAAACATGTTTTGGGGAGGTCTTCTTACAAGCACTCTACTTGTGGTCCCTAAATAGCACAGCTACCAAATAAAACTTTTCAAAATTAAAGTGAACTTATAAATGACAGGATAGAGCCCTGGGGCTATGGACAAGGAACGGAGTCATCCAAAACTAATGGTCCTTCCATGGCAACTGAGACAGAAGGAAAAGGTATACATTCTGCTTTTGAAACTTAATAAACCAGGAAAATATCTGACATGAATTGAATTCTATAATAGTATTATAATTCAACTATATCACAAGTTAAATAGGTTTTTGTAAACTGATTTGGAGATCCCAGTTCCATATATTTTTCCTTTGGAAAATGTGTTCCAAATGCCAAATTACTAAATTACAAATTAACTTTTGAAATAAATCCAATTATAAAATAAAGATCTTCCTTAACTAAAGTTACTTAGTCTGACTGACTAAGACATTATCTCACTCTGTGGCCCAGTATGGAGGTACAGTGATGCAATTATAGCTCACTGCAACCTCGAATTTCTGGGCTCAAGAGATCCTCCTGCCTCAACCTTCTGAGTAGCAGAGAATAGACTATATTTCAAATACATTATTCAATTTTCTTATTAAAATTTATACCTGACTACGGTGTTCAATAGAATTTGATTCTTTCCCAGTTTTAAGTTCCAATGGCATTATCTTGTATTTTGTTTTACACCCTCGATGTATTTTCACACCAACTGTAACATCTATTTTGCCTTTCAATCCAAACCTAGGGGACCAAATGCTTTCTTCAATATCCACTGAGTTTACTACTTCGATGTTACACGTTGAGTTATTCTTACCACCATTACTTGGCCTAAGGGGGAAAAAAAAAAACAATTAGAACAGCTTATTTCACATCTGCTAGCTCTGACTTGCTACTACACATAGAGAATGAAGGAATGGGGAAGAGTCTACACACCTTTATGGTAGTGATTCTCAAAGTATGGTCCCTGGACCAGTAGCACCAGCATCACCTGGGACTTTGTTATAAAGATAGATTCTCAGGCCCCACTCCAGACCTACTCAAATGGAAACTCTAAAAACCTAGCAATCTATTTAACAACCTTTCCGTGACTCTAATGCACACCTGAGTTTAAGAACCGATGTTCTGGTTGGTCCAAGTGCAGTGGTGTTTACAACTAATTGATCACAACCAGTTACAGATTCCTTTGTCCTTCTTACTCCACTGCTCCACTTGACCAGCCTTTAAAAAAAAAAAAAACCACTGTTCTATAAGCTCTGACTCATGTAATTTAATCTTTCCTAATGTTTATTATATGTCCCTTTTGGTTCATTCCTATTACAATCTTAACTCAGGCCCTTACTCCTTAAGGCCTAGATGACTTCAACAGTCTCACTACATAGACTGCTAAAGCCACAATTCCAATCTGAGGTTTTTTTTTTTTTTTTTTGAGACAGAGTCTCGCTTGTTGCCCAGGCTATAGTGAGTGCCGTGGCATCAGCCTAGCTCACAGCAACCTCAAACTCCTGGGCTCAAGTAATCCTTCTGCCTCAGCCTCCCGAGTAGCTAGGACTACAGGCATGTGCCACCATGCCGGCTAATTTATATATTATATGTATTAGTTGGCCAATTATTTCTTTCTATTATAGTAGAGACGGGGTCTCGCTCTTGCTCCAGGCTGGTTTCGAACTCCTGACCTCGGCGAATCACCCACCTCAGCCTCCCAGAGTGCTAGGATTACAGGCGTGAGCCACCGCGCCCGGCCCCAATCTGAGGATTTTCACATACAATTATTACACAAATTAATATGTAAATAGTTGCATGTGGTTGCACCCTAGCTAATAAGGAGTATGTTCCTTCACGTAACACCATATTAAATCAGGTAAGAATGAGCTATCCCCACCATGTAGGAAGCACGAGGCTTTGTTCACCTAATATTTCATCCACATATACCCCCATGTGACAGTCTTTAGAGGAACTAATGGCCACTCCCACACGTCTCAATTACTTTCTTATTTTTTTATTTTCTTAGAAACAGAGTCTCACTTTGTTGCCCAGGCTAGAGTGAGTGCCATGGCATCAGCCTAGCTCACAGCAACCTCAATCTCCTGGGCTCAAGCGATCCTACTGCCTCAGCCTCCTGAGTAGCTGGGACTACAGGCATGTGCCACCAGCTGCCCGGCTAATTTGTATGTTATATATTTTTAGTTGGTCAATTAATTTCTTTCTATTTTTAGTAGAGACAGGGTCTCGCTCTTGCTCAGGCTGGTTTCGAACTCCTGACCTTGAGCAATCCGCCCGCCTCGGCCTCCTAGAGTGCTAGGATTATAGGTTCGAGCCACCATGCCCAGCCAACTTTCTTAACTTAGTCATTAAATGGATCTCTGCCACTATCAATATTTAAAATAAGTACTCAACATTGTTTTTTATATTATAAAATAAGTTCCAATTTTTAATATCTTAACTGCTAAATAAGCCATGTGGACAGAAAGGATAAAAAAGGGAATATATAAATGTTAAAGGAATTAGAAGAGATAGAAATAACTTTTCAAACCTCTTATACCTCTCATCTAAGAGTTACCCATTTTCACAGCAGTTACAGATATTCTGAGAAGGGATTAGAAGAAAATTCCGGTAAGAGTTACCTCGTATTTATTAATCCTATCTGCCAGCAAAATATTTTAAACTTTCAGATTCAAAACCATATAAAATACTAAATCTAATGGAAATTTTACATGAACGGATAAATTTTCTAGTAATAAAACATTTTATAGCATATCAAAATCAATATTTTTTTTTTTTTTTGAGACAGAGTCTCGCTTGTTGCAGGCTAGAGTGAGTGCCGTGGCGTCAGCCTAGCTCACAGCAACCTCAATCTCTGGGCTCAGCAACTACTGCCTCAGCCTCCCGAGTAGCTGGGACTACAGGCATGCGCCACCATGCCCGCTAATTTATATATATATATTATTGGCAATTAATTCTTTTTATTTTGTATAGTTAGGACAAGGGTTCTCGATCAGGCTGGTTTTGAACTCCTGACCTTGAGCAATCCGCCCGCCTCAGCCTCCCAGAGTGCTAGGATTACAAGCGTGAGCCACCACGCCCGGCCTCAAAATCAATATTTTAAAAAGCATAATAGTTCTAGCTGTAAGAATATATAATTCAATTGATTTTGCTTTACTAATTTCATGTTATTGAGGCCAGTAGCTATTTCTTAACAAATGAGAATATTTTCTGAAGAAAACAATGCTGTTTTCAATAATTTTTCTTTGAAACATTGTTTCAAGATGCTTCAAATATAATCTCCAAGAATATATATACTTCTATATTCCTACAGAATGTTATGTTCTATATATGTAGGATATAGATATACTTCAAATGAACAATCTTTGAATAAGACAATAGTGGTATTCAGAGACAACGCAATTTATCTCTAATTTCTTAAATTTATTTATTTATTTTTTGAAACAGGGTCTCTGTTGCCTGGGATAAAATGCAGTGACATCATCATAGCTCACTGCAACCTCCAACTTCTGGGTTCAAGCACTCCTCCTGCCTCAGCCTCCCACATAGCAGAGACTACAGAAGCACGGCACCACGCCTGGCTAATTTTTCTATTTTTCGTAGCTCTTACTCAGGCTGGTCTCAAACTCCTGGCCTCAATTGATCCTCCCACCTCAGCCTCCCAAAGTACTAGAATTACAGGTGTGAGCCACCATGCCCAGTGTGAAAATTTTTAAATATTAATCGGTTTTCTCTTACCAAATGTTATCTGGACATGGTAGGTATCCAAATATGCTTTCATTAAATAAAGGAAAATTTATTATTTATAAAATGTCACATGTATACCTAATAGAAGAAAGATAACAAAACTTTTAAAGTTGCTACTAAAATTCAGCCCCCTAGAAGAGCAATGTGATTTAAGATCTAAACCTGTGGAGCAAATGACAGTACAGTCACCCTCAGTATCTATGGGGAGATTGGTCCCAGGACCCTGTGCAGATACCAAAAGCCTCAACCCTGGGAAACCTGCACATCCAAAAAGTTGGCCCTAACAGCATATTTCTCAGAATGTATCCCCATAAAGCTACACATGACTTTGCTGTATATAAATTTTGTATATAATTTTTTTAAATATGTATTTGATTTTAAAGATTCCTTCCAACTCAAAAATGACTCTGAATCCCACACTCTTTCCATGGCTTCTATGTTATACTTCCTCCAAGGTCCCAAATCCTTGCTGGTCCTTCCTAAGCCTCCTTCAATGGATTCTGTTCTCTCCTTCTGTCCTTTATATGCTGTTACCTACCAGGGTTCCATGCCTCTTTTGTTGCCCACATTTTGTCTCCCAGAAATACCCTCCACTTCTGTGTTTTTAACTACCACCAATACACTGAGTTCTTGGAAAGCTTTAGGTATCCCTATAACACAAGTATCTAGTACAATGTTCCCACAGACATAGCATAGCAATAAATAAATGTTTGCTGAACAAATAAGCCCATAATTCTATGAGAATCATGCTTATCATTGCAAAAACAATGGGTAAATTTTATCCCCCCTAAAAAAAATGCAGACAAAATGCTAAAGCAATTAGCAAAAAGTAAAAGAAAAGCTTACATCTAAAGCAACCATAAAAATGGGTATCTATCACAATGGATAATCTCAAGCAAATATAAATGACAAAAAAGAAATAACAAGGACTAAAGGAGACAGAAAAGGAAGAAAAGAAGAAGAGGGGTAAATAAGGATAAGGAAATAATTAGGAGTAATGGAAGACAAAATTGACTGTGTCAGTGTTACAGGACATTGATAAGAGACCAGAATGACAAAATGTTATAAAACAAAGCAAGGAATCAGGAAAAGAGTGACTATTTAATAAAGATGTCACAATTTATCACAGTGAAAACTAATGCACCAATATCCATCCCCTATATCAGACATGGCAATCTGTTCTAAAGAAGTAACAAAGAATGAAACGTCTTTGAATTTATAAAAAACCTAAGAAAAATTAAACAAACTATTCACTCCAGCTTTTTTTTTTTAGAGTAGGAAGTTGGTGGCAAATTTATGACAACTACAGAAATAAAGAATATAAGAAATATGGCTGAACACGGTGGCTCACACCCATAATCCCAGCACTCTGGGAGGCTCAAGTGGGAGGATCACCTGAGGCCAGTAGTTCGAGACCAGCCCGGCAACAGAGTTAGACCCCATCCCTACAAAAAATTTAAAAATTAGTGAGTGTGGTGGCAGGCACCTATAGTCCTAGCTATTCAGTCGGCTGAGCCAGGAAGACCACTTGAGCCCAGAAGTTCAAGGCTGCAGTGAACTACAATCATACCACCACACTACACCCTGGGCAACAAAGTGAGAACCTGTCTTTAAAAAATAAATAAACATATTTTTTAAAAGAATATTAGAAATAAACTAAATTCTAAAAATAAGACAAGCCCTTTTTTAAAAAACCACTACATAGGCTGGGCGCGGTGGCTCATGCCTGTAATCCTAGCACTCTGGGAGGCCGAGATAGGTGGATTGCTCGAGGTCAGGAGTTCGAAACCAGCCTGAGCAAGAGTGAGACCTTGTCTCTCCTATAAATAGAAAGAAAAATTAATTGGCCAACTAATATATGTAGAAAAAATTAGCCGGGCTTGGTGGCACATGCTTGTAGTCCCAGCTACTCAAGAGGCTGAGGCAGCAGGATTGCTTGAGTCCAGGAGTTTGAGGTTGCTGTGAGCTAAACTGATGCCACAGCACTCACTCTAGCCTAGACAACAAAGCAAGACTCTGTCTCAAAAATAAATAAATAAAATAAAATTAAAAAATACTACATATTTTTAAAATACATATCAAACTCCCATTAGGTTGTTGTGGTGATGGTTGAGCAACTCTATGAATATACTAAAAGCCATTGAATTATAAATAATAATAATAAAATAAGGCCAGGTACAGTGGCTAACACCTGTAATCCTAGCACTCCTGCAGGCTGAGGTGAGAGGATTATTTGAGGTCAGGAGTTTCAGACCAGCCTGAGCAAAAGCAAGGCCCTGTTCTCTACTAAAAACAGAAAAAATTAGCCAGGTATGGTGATACATGCCTGTAGTCCTAGCTACTCAGGAGGCTGAGGCAAGAGGACTGCTTGAGCCCAGAAATCTGACATTGCAGTGAGCTACGATGACACCACTGCACTCTACCCAGGATGACAGAATGAGACTCTGTCTCAAAACAAAAAAACAAAATAAATAAAAATAATTGAAATCCTACTTGCAGACACAGGACATTTAAACATTGTTAGCAACCTTCTAGAATGATTTTTTAATTCTCAAAAAATTCCTGCACTGTGTAAAAGGTTGTAAAATTACCCACTATCTTTGAAGTAAAGTCCAATTGTGAGGTTTCAACATGAGGACATAACTGTCCACATCAGGTCCACCCTTCCACTTGTGTAATCTCATTTCTTCTCCCCTACTCAAGGACCAACTCTAAGAATTCTCCATCTCTTCTGAGTATTAATTTTCTTCTCTGTAGAATACTTCCCATCAGCATATAAACATTCAGTTGTATAGCCCATCTTCAAAACACCACAGCAGTCATAATCCCAAGTAAGCCCCTGGTTACTATTCTTTTTCTGTTTGCCCTTTCATAGAAGAACCTTTCAATATAGTAGCCTATACTCCCTGTCTCCAAATCCTCTTCTACCATTCTCTCTTGACCCCACTCTCATTACACTTTTTTAAATTTTTTTTGAGACAGAGTCACACTTTGTTGCCCAGGCTAGAGTGAGTGCCGTGGCGTCAGCCTAGCTCACAGCAACCTCAAACTCCTGGGCTCAGGCAATCCTTCTGCCTCAGCCTCCCGAGTAGCTGGGACTACAGGCATGCGCCACCATGCCTGGCTAATTTTTTATATATATATTAGTTTCTATATATTTTTTCTATATATATTAGTTGGCCAATTAATTTCTTTCTATTTATAGTAGAGACGGGGTCTCACTCTTGCTCAGGCTGGTTTTGAACTCCTAACCTCGATCAATCCGCCCGCCTCGGCCTCCCAGAGTACTAGGATTACAGGCACGAGCCACCACGCCCGGCCTCTGATTCACAAATCTTAAAACAAATTATCTGGATCACAAAATGTCATGAGATAAATATTGAGAATATTGAGAAAACAGAGAGTATTAATATAATGGAAGACGTACCTACTTAAATAAAAAATAAAATGTTGTCTGTTTAAAAAGAAAGTAAATCACATCAAAACCCTCAATGGCTTCCTATCTAATCAGAACAGCAGCCGAAGTCCTGACCAGGTTCCTGAGGCCCCAGAAGAGCAACTACTCCTCTTCTCCTGGCTCACTCTGCCACCAATCACACTGGCCCCTTGAGGTGCTATGAACACTGCAAGTATGTGACAGGTGCAGGGCTTTTGCCCTTTCTGTTTCCCCGGACTAGAACATTTCTTTCCTAGAGATAGTGGCATGGCTCACCACTTCCCTTCCTTCAGGCTTCTGCTCAAATGCCACCTTAATAGAAAGGATTTCCATCGACCACTCTGTGGAAGTAATATCCCTACCACCATTACTACCCACTCGCCCCCTCCTTTTAACCCTCCCCATTGTTCTATACTGCATTTATCAGTCTGGTACCCTATTGTTTACTTGTTCGGTAGTATAGAAACTCCACGAAGAAGGATGTTTTCTGTTTTGATGAATTTTTTTTTGCTACTATAATCAAAGCACCTAGAACATTATTTAGCACACATTAGACACCTAATAAATATTTGCTGAATGGGTGAATAACAGAAAAGAAACAAAGCATTGCCTATAAAAGTATATCAATGCCAGTTTAAGGAAAAAGAAACTTGAAAAATAAACGAAATGCCAAACAGCATTAAAGAGCTAAACACAGTAAACAAATACACAAATCCATAACAATCAACACATGACAGAGTCAATATATGATAGAAAAATACATGAAAGTATCAAATGAAAAAAATTAGGACCTCCCTCAAATATTTATAAACTGGCTATTTTATTTTAAACTTCTACATACAAAATTAGAGTATTTTAGTATAATAAAAATAAAATTTTCGGCCAGGCGCAGTGGCTCACGCCTATAATCCTAGCTCTCTGGGAGGCTGAGGCGGGCGGATTGCTCAAGGTCAGGAGTTCAAAACTAGCCTGACCAAGAGCAAGACCCCGTCTCTACTATAAATAGAAAGAAATTAATTGGCCAACTAATATATATAGAAAAAATTAGCCTGACTCAGATTTAAGCGGTTCTGCCAAAATAAGAGATATAAGTATGAAACATAAATATGAAAAAGCAAAATTCAGGACAAAAACATTCAAAAAGGAACCTAAGCCCGCCCAGTGCCCGCCGCCATGGAGTGCAGGTGGAGACCATCCCCTGAGACGGGCGCACCTTCCCGAACGCGGCCAGACCGCTGCGTGGTGCACTACACCGGGATGCTTGAAGATGAAAGAAATTTGATTCCTCCCGGACAGA